GGCCCAAGCAAAATAAAGCATGAACTATTTTGAAAGCAAAAAGATAATATCCCTGCAGACTAAAACCTAGAAGGTTTTCTTGTGACTGTGTGCTGGTATATATGGGAAGGCCCCAAAAGGTGCTCTCCCAAGCATGGCCTTAACTCCCAAACCATCCTCTCTTCCTGACTATGCCCTTCAAATTGCCTCCAACATAAAGACGTGCAGAGCTTTAAAGTGTTAATGTTGACAGAAGCTGGCTGTTTATGTCTAGTAAGCATTCATTTCAGAATGTAAGTGCTTTGAGTAAGAGACTGCAACGAATGAAACTCTCTACTCTCCAAAATCCAGATCATTAATGCTGCAGTGAAATACAGTCTTGTGTTGACCACCAGCACTGCAGTGTTCCAGTCTGGTATCTCTTTCAGAATAAACTGATGTTCATCTGCTTGCAGAACAGGTGGAAAAGGGCAAAGCAGTGGCCAGTACTGCATTTGCTTCATTTCCTCTGAATTTCCTCTAAGCTTTAGCACTTAGGAGGGCAAAGAGTGAAAACCAGTGTTAATGTAGTTAGGTGCTGTACAAAATTCCCCACAAGTCCTATCAGCTTTGATCTTTGGCTTCACTATTATTACATTAATGTATCTCCTTTGAATGGAGCCTCCACCCTCTGTCATTTCTCATTCTAGCAGTAAAAGGCAAGAAATTCATTATGTACTTGTATTTGCTATTGACTGGCACAGCAGCCATAAGAAATGCAATGTATTTATTTGTAAGTACCATGGAATAAGGCTAAATTCAAAAGAAATCTCCAATAAATGTTAAGATGGTGCTATGGAACAGCTGGAACATTAAGTGAACAACCTTGATAACCCAATTGTTCATTGACGCATAATTCATTTTGCTTCTACTGAAAGAGTAATTCCTCAGGACATTAAAGACTTGAGATTTTGTGAAGCTGAGAATCAAACCAGAAGGGACAAAATTCTCTCTTAACCCACGTATTTGTTTAGATAAATTATGTGCTTTTTGGGTTTATTATGGTGCACTGTATAGGGTTGTTGTAAATTAGTCAGAACTGGGGAAATAAGAGAACTGGCTGGTAATGCAATTCCAGCAACACAGAAATGCGACATGGTTCTGCCTGGGCCCCCAAAGATGTACATATTTTTTAACTCATCTTATTCTGTTGACTTGTTTTACAAGGCAGAAGCAGATTTCCTGTATAGTTGACAGTCGGGACCTCACCTTTCCAAGTTTTTATCAGCTATGACGTGTTAAGCCTGAGACCACGTACTGACCAACCCACATCAGCTATTTTGGCAGGTAGAAGTAGCAGTTCCTCTGTTCCGGTTCCGCTGTAGCTGTATGATTTGCAGGAGTTGGTGGTCCTCAAATTTAACCTGATTGTGTCTGTCTGTGACAGCTCTTTGCAGCATTTTAATTCTATTTATTGCCAAACTACAGAAAGTGGCTGAAAAAGGAGTCTGGTTCATAAAGCAGCATGCCGTCAGCTTCTGCTGCTGTTCTGTCATCCTCAGAAGGTGGCTTTCACTGCTTCCTAGCAGACTTCAGTGGCAATCTCTGACAATTAATTCACATTTATAAAATGGGTGAGAGAGATGACATCACTGTGTTGTCAACTCTAAATTAAAAAACTCCCAAAATCTACTAGTTTCTCTAGGTTGAGGCCTGGACTCTCTTGGCCCATGTCGGGTACATTGCAAAGACCTAGCAACCCCAGTAAGAGAATCTAAATGAGTTGCCAGTAGCATAGATATTGCATTAACTCCTGCTCTTTGTAAGTTTCTGGTGTCAAGCAAATAGAGTTTTTTCTGATACTGGGTTTACCTTTCTCTTATTGGACACATCTAAAATGTGATCTAAAGCCTTTATAATCACAAAATGTTATTTATGTGAATACTTTATGTCACACATGCATGCATACAATTTGATTTACCTTGCAATCTTAGATTCATTTTGTTAGGCAGAAATTTTTATTATGTGTATCCTCTTGTAGTTGGAAAGCATTACAACAGAGGAAACCTGTCGCTCATTCCCTAATAAACAGAAAATAGACTGCACCAATCCTTAATTCATGGCAAATCAGAAAAAATTAGCTGCACCTTCTTCTGTGGGTGATGTGTCGCTGCAGCTTTAGGTGTGGATGGGTGAACTTGCATGGCGCTAGCTAACCCTGCAATACTCTGAGGCACTGCTCCTCTGCCAGACCTGTGAGGAGGCGCTTTCAAGCCCTGGGGCAATGCTTTGAGCTGCACAGCCCGGTTAGTGCCCAATGGAAAGAGTCGGGCTGGAAGAGAGAGCAGTTGGGGTGACCCCACTCCAAAGCAGTTCAGCTGCCCCTGAGTCGAGGTACCTGCTGCCTGCCTTAGGCTGATGGCTGGGCATTCAGGCTGAGCTGTAAGCAACAAAAGTTACTTTGTACTCCCAAGTACTTTGCTTTATAGCTGAATTTGAGCTTAAACATTTTCACCTTTGGTTTACAAGTTTATTTCAAACTTTTTATAATGAGGTTTGTGTAACTGCAGAAGAAAAATATATACACACTGTAATACAAGCTTACTTTAGCAAATGTGAAAGATGGAAGTGTTTGTTCTTTCTGAGGCATGTTGAAGAACCAGCTCTTTCCTTTGTCATGCACATAATGTGACTGGTAGAGCCTCCCTTCACAGGCTGTGAGCCATGCTGTGCTGACATCCTGCAGTACTGCCCATTAGTGGCCATTACCAGTGCTTTCCTGACGTCCCTCCCTTGAGAGGCCCAGGGGCTCCCGTGCGGCATGGTGGGGTCAAGGAGCTTGTGGGGCAGGGGCTGCCTGACACAAAAAGGCAACAGGGTCTTCGCTCTGGTCGTTTTTATTGGCGGTGTGGAACGTCTTTACATAAGCTGAATTTGTGTCACCAGCGTACGCTTCAGGTCGCATATATTAATATAGACAGATAAATATATCTCAGTAGAGCACAAAACGTAACAGAAACAGTGTGCTATAAATACACATTTACATTTGTCATAAATCTATACTATTGTATAAAAATAAAAGTATCACTAAAATATTTTTGTCTTTGCAACCCATACATCAGAAGTTCAGCTGTAAGTCACAACCACGTCTTGCTCAGCTATGGATGGCACAGGAGCGCTCAGGGGGTTGAGATCAGGGTCCCACCCCTGAAACACCACCACTTTGAAGTCAAGTTCCTTTTGCTTTTGTTTACTGTTAATATAAATATTCACAAATACTGGCTTTTTAGTTTCTACATCCCACTCCTGTGTGTACATGGGTGTACCCCTACAGAGAGAGTGAAACGATTACCTTCTTAAAAAGTCGCTTGTGCAGGGTTTGTATGTTCCCAGTCCCACTGAGAGGTCTCACTAAATCATTGCCACTTCATAGAAACCTCAGATGGTTTAGGTTGGAAGGGACCTTAAAGATCATCCAGTTCCAACCCCCTTTCATGAGCAGGGACACCTTTAACTAGACCAGGTTGCACAAAACCCCGTCCAACCTGGTCTTGAACACTGCCAAGGATGGGGCAACCACAGCTTCTTATATTAATGAAAGTACACTTAGCTCATTGATGAACATTTTCTCCCTTTTCATGATGAACAATCTATTCTATAATCTTCTGTTTGGAAACATTTTAAAATCCTCACATTTGATTTCCATAAATGCATGTGCATAGACTGTGTATTTTTCAGGAGAGAACTTAAGTTGTATAATACACATATTTTAAAATAAGAACCTAAGAAAAGTGCCTGTTTCCTGAAATGGGACCATACCACATGGATTCTGTAGAGGCTTCTGTTAACTGGGAAGCAGCATAGTCCCTTATGAAGCTCCTGCTGGCAAACACAAAAATTTATAATGCCCTGGGCCATGAATTTAACCAGGACCCTCCAATTTAAACATACCTGAACTGAGTCTGAAGTCTCTTGAACAAAGTCTGGCACTTTGCAGATACTACTTTTAATGCGTACTAGCTGAGGTACACAAATGCCTTCCTCTGCAGGGACTGAGTTCAGTGAAGCTGCTCATTCAGGTACTCGAGCTGAATACTAAAAGCAGATCACTAAGTATCTGAGATACAAGTAGGGAATGGTTGTTAGCTAAATAAATAAGAAGTATGAGTGGTCATTCATTTCTTCCTCAAGTAAAAATACAGTGTTGGTATTTTCCATTATCAGTTTCCAGTGCTGGAGGATCCAAAACACCCGTTATGGCAGCTGTAGACAAGGAAGGGACGTTTAATGATAAACTGGTGTGGTCGTAGTGTCTGCCTGAATTCTCAGTGGCTGTGTGGTGAGTACAGTGCCTGAGCTGCTGTTGTAATTCCAGCCAAAAAAGTAAAACGAAAACACAGGTAATATTTGCAAATAAGTATCAGTACCCATGGAACTAAGAATGCAAAATAAAATTATGTGTTTCATTAGAGGCAAATTAATAATCAACTATTCACAGCATTTTTATGTCCTTATATGGTTATAATTTTAGACATACAATTCTATGAAAAAATTGTAGTGTTACATTTATGTTAAAAATGCAGAATGCATTTGTAGTGATGTGACATGGAACAAAGCAAAATTACTGGGAGTGTTTCAAAGTAATTTTCATAATTATAGTATAGGAACAATTTAAAGTCATGTTTTGAACAGTGTATTCATTAAGTGAACACTCGGTTGGACTAACAGTCTGTGTTCTTGCTTTTTTAACCATTTGTTTTTCACTTTGGGACAGCTTTTAAGCCAGAATATTATTTACACAATCTAAAAATAGATTTCATCTTTGGTTTGAACCACAGTTCATGGAGTAATAAAACATACATATTTTTAAGTGAATGCCTTAACTTAAAAAAATGAGCCCAGCTTTCCGTCACTGTAACTCATCATAGTTGATTTGCTCCAACAGAGCTGATTTTTGATTGAGCTCCAACTGATTATCAGGCCCACTGTGCTTTCCTATATGGGGTTGTGGATAGCCTTTATCTGCAGACTGCATAATGTATGCAATGCCAAAGAGGCAGTAAAATAAGCATGGATGTATATGATCTATTGAATCTGTATCTAGAATTCTTGAACAGAAACATATCTGCCCTTCAAGTTTATTGTATTGTATTCTCCTGCTCTTAAGCTTGGGGGTGCTTAAGCATGTGATTGTTCAGTCTACAAAGGAAGAAGAAACATCTCCACTTCTCCACAGGCAGGTAAGCAGTCCCTGGCCAGGCTTCCAAGCGTGCTCCAGCTTGCCTAGCAAAGGATACTCACTGGAGTTAGTGCATGCTCTTTTAGACAGTAAGTTGTGTTCTAACAGTGACGACTGAACACCTCTAAGCAAGGCAACATATTTCAGCTCGAAAGTGCCTGAAACTATCAGTCCTTTGAAGGATTTGTAGGGAATGAAAGAGATAATGAGAAAACCCTCAGGATAACACTAGCAGAATATGGGAATTACCAGATGCTATATTATTTTCCTGATTGAATTTACTGTATATTGCAGAATATGGTACCCTACATCTACTTTTAAAAATATAAAATATAAATCCCTCCCAAATGGGTTGATGCAAAGCTGATATGAGTACCGGTACTCTTAAACTGGTACTTATAGCACTATCTTGGAGACTTCCTTATATTGCAAGTTTGCTCTTCATTCTAGTTATTTATTGCTCTTTGATTTTGTTTGGTTGCATGCACATTCCTGCTAGTCACAGTGACTAAATTCATTCCTGTGCAAACAAAAAAGGTCTAGAGTAGGATTGAATTGCACTTACGCTTTGTGCTTTGCCTCTCTGTCAGACTGGATTTTGCTCACTGATAGAATGAAATAATTAAGTCAATTCATTACAGACAAAATTCCCTTAGCTCTCTGTGATGGATCTTCTCTCCGATATGCTGCTTTCAGAATAGTACTGTTCTTGAGGCCAGTGCACACCAGAATAAAGGCTAAACTATTTCTGCAGCATTTCTATATTGGGGGAGCATGCAAACACAAGTGGAAATCTGTTTGTGGAAATACACAGTGGCCACTCTCAAAAATAATCTGTTTTCCTTATGTAGTAAATAGAATGGTGGAATTAAATACTTTTCATGCAAATTTTCAAGATTTAATGGCATCAGCCTATTATTTACAGTGTTTATTTCAACATTCCCAATAGGGGAAATGTCTTCATATTTTTGTTCCTCTACATGCAAATCTTGCAGGAATAGATGTGCGTATTTTAGAACTACTTGCAGGGAATATTAATTAATTGGTGTGCCTTACTGTTTAATTTATGTCATACACAAACTTACTCAATTCTTTAGGTGATAAAATGGCCGAAGTTAATTATGGTTAGAAGTGGTAGTACAACACATACTTGTATTACTTCCTCCTTCATTTCAACCGGTGAGACCAAGCCTTTTTGGCTGATGAGGTTTCAAGCGAGAAATGTTAGATTTAGTACATGCAGTGTTTTAAATGCTGGCAACAATGTAAAACAAATGACATTTTGGTTCTACACTAAGGTATTACTAGTACTATCTTGCCTTTGAACGACTGTGTCATTGCTTCTTCATCAGGTGGATTCAGGAGAATATTTCACACAGCCTTTTAGAGCTTGCGGTCGCTCTGCAGCTGTGTGGCTGCTTCTTGTTTAGCAAGTGGCTTTGCCACAGTAGAACTGCATTTGTTGCACAGATCTCTCACTTCTAGGAGACTTTCTTCCACAGCTTTTGCAAACATGTCTGAGGAGGTTTCTTTACAGTCTTTAAAGCTTGAGATGCAGAATAATATATGCTCTGGCTGAGGGTTATAACATGCCCCATAACCATTGGGTACCACAGGCCCATAGCAGCAGAACATTTCCATAGTAGTTGGGACCTGGTTGCAGGGAGAAGGTAAGGAGTGATCTCTAATTAATCAGGGCAACTGAAATCGTCTGGTTAGCAATGAGGAAAAAGATAAACAAATGCTACAAGTCCTAGAAATGTGGTGAGTTCCCCCTGTGGAATATCACTGCCTTCAGAAGTCCAGACTAGAAACTGACACTTGGAAGGTAAAGGCTGATCTCACTATAGAATTTGGTTGCTGTGTTTGCCACAGTTTGAAAACTGGTATAATTTAAAGTGAATATGGTGTATTTATTTGCTCACTTTATATAGATCTGTAACAGCTATAAGCTTTTCTACTGATAGGGAATTTTTAAGGCTGTATGAAATTCTGATATACAAAATTACAATACATAAAACTTCTCTGAGGTTTTTAATTTCTTAAGGATCTTATGGTTATGTTATACTTGTAGTGTGAAAACTGTAATTATAGAAATTAATATTGTCCATTTTTAATGATAATTTATAATTTTGGTGCTGTATAAAAACATGTTTTAATGCATCTTGGTGCTACTTTTCTATTACATCTCAATTTAATCATGGTATAATACAGGAGAGAAACACTTTCTCCTGCAGAAAATGAAAGATGTTTCAGAAATCTATATGTTTCCGTCTTTGTGTACATGGGCCTTCACAAATAACATTTGGCTTTTTAATGTTGTAGAACAAGCCATTAGTCCTGCTAATAGAGCCATAGAACTGTCAGATAAATTTGCTGTGCAACAGCCCAAGGCCATAAAGCCATTCAGAAGCACTCTTTGCTCATGGATAGTTTCTTGGAGAATTTATGTAGTAGTATGTTGGTTATATTCACTCATGTCTGAAAGCCTACAAACATTATGGCAAGATCAAATTACTTATTAAGGCTTTATGCTGTAGTGTGATATTATAAGTCTCTTTTGTTGAATAGTTCTAATCTGTGCAGTTGGGTTAGTGTTTCAGTAAATTAATTCCTACATAGATTTTTTCTTTCATTAGGACTGCTACTACTATGTGCAATGAAACATTTAATTTTTAGCATTTTATTCTTAGGCTGTATGCTGTAAGGATGTTTCATTATTCAGAACATTAAGTGTATAAATGTTGACTCTTAGAGTCAACATATCTTAGTATAGTTGCAAATAACTGCAAATCCACATGTCTAAAATGCCTGTAAAGCCAAGATGCACGCCTGTCCGTGTTGCAGTCTTACACTGAATAACTGAAGGCTCTCAAAGATTTCAAACACAGTTACTTTTAAGGATAAAGTCTTCTCCTGGTTGCTGGTTTATGTTTCTCAGAGTGGCAGCCTGTCTGGCGTGTTGCTGTACTTCTCCTGGAGTACAGAATTCTGGATAGAGCTGTCACCTTTGGGGAAGGGGGAGAAGAAAGGGAACGGGAAGATGCGTAGTTTGGAAGGGGAGGAAACACTGACCCCTCATGCAAATTTTACTGAGTTTTTTTGTGTGCATTTTCAGAATTTCTGGGAAGGGCTTTGGGATGTCACAAAGGAAGCGATAACTTTAGTCAGTATTTACTGTGCAGATTTTGTGGCATGAACCAAAATTGGCTTAAAAATCTGGAGGATTTTGTGGACTTCTTGATGGCTCTTGGTGGCACTAGGTTTTTTGGTTGGTTGGTTGGGTTTTACATTGTGCTCACTGTGAACTACAGGGTCTGGCAGAACACAAACAAATTAACCTTTACTTAGCAAGACCAGTGAACAGAAGAAACTCACCTGGCTGGTTGAGAGGATGAATCGATTGCTTGTCAAATATGTCTCATCCGTAAATATCTCTGGCAGTTCCTTGAAGTGCTCCCGTGCCACCTCTCTGAGCCCCAGCAGATGATTGTCTATTGCCATTCCAGTAATAGCCTGTGTACAACGTGATCAGACACCAGCATTTAACTGGGTGTGGAGATATTTTCTTGTCTGTTACTGCCTTGATTTCTGGTCAGAGTTAATGAACTTGGTTTGAGTGATGTAATGCCTGGGATGTTCAGAGGTTACTCTGAGGTATGTACTTTGCTGTGGTGATCAGTATCTATAAATTCTGAAGATGTTAACAATTAAGAAGGACATGGTCTTGAGATGTATTATGTGCTGATGTCATCTGGTGTCCTGGGCTTTCATCTTCAATCAGAGCTGAATATCACGGGCTGGGTTTCCAAAGCTGCTGAGGGGAGCATATGGGACGCCAGATATCTCTAAGTGTGTTTTGGAATTTCCTGTGCATCGCTTGGATTATGTTTCAAGATAGGCTCTAAAACACCTCCAAATTAGAAAAAACTACTCTTTTATTGCCTTGCTGCTTGCGTTTCACTCTGGCAGGTAAAGCCAGGTGTCATTCCATAGAATTTAGAACTAAAGACCTGGTAGATGTCTGCAACAGATTTAGCAGGAGTCTACTTGCTATCCTGTGCTTGCCCATGTGTCTACTCACCATCATCCCCAGCACAGAACCAGACATGCTTGCCCCCAAGCCCTGCTCCAGAATGTCCCAGATTTCATCTCCTGCTTCACGGCTACAGGTGAGGTGGTTGGCAGCATGTGCAGTGGCCGAATGTTAGCAGCAAGAGAACACTGGTAGCCAGCTAGCCAGCTCACAAGAACTACTGCCCAGCCTGCAGCCCAGTCTTTCTGCCATCAGCCTGCTGTGCTTGGGTCTCTCTGCTCTATCCACCCACCTAATGCTGTAGACTTAAGGAATTTTTTAGCTTAAGATCTTTCCCTGCTAGCAAATGTCACTGAAGATGGCTAATAAGATCAAAAGTCCATAGTGGGAGATGGGCAGGCATGATAGTTACAGAGTTTTGTTTCTTTAGGAAACCAGATCAAAATTTGTTCCAACCAGTCAGGAATTGCCTGAGATTAAAACACGCATTTAAAATCGTTCAGTCTGGGTTTATTCTACGCTGGTGAGGGCATTGATTATGAGGATTGAGCTCATGCCTGGTAACAGGCTGAAGTCACGTAGGAAGGGAATGTTGAACAAGGGACATTGCACTACACTGAGAGCAGAATTGGTATCTTTGTGGCACAGGCCCCTCGTAACAAGGGAAATAAGCAACCTGAGAGAAGGCAGGATTTGAAAAAGAGCATAGGCTTGGTTTTCCTCTTAAGGGGAGGATTAAAAAAGAAAAGAAATGCACAAGTTTGCTTCTTCTCTTAAGAGGAGAATCATTCTAACCACTAATAAGTGCTTGTTGCAGGGGGCTGGGATTGCATAATCTTGTTTGGCTTATTAAGGAGTAGGCACCCACTGGTAAATGGGCTATTTGTTCATCAGCCAGATGAAGCAAGGATGCTTGCAAAAAAGTATTGGACATCAGGGCAGTGTTTATGTTGTTTTTCCCATAGAGGGAAACTGACTTGATAATCAAAGGAAATATTTTGCCATCACACAAGATTTATAAGGCTGTTAGCAATGACATTTTTGCAACATAGATCACTGTCATGTCTGAAGAGAGCCCGAGACAGGCTAACGAAATAAACTGTGAGTCAACGCTTAGGAAAAAAGTGTGCTAAATTGAATTTGAGAGCTCCACATTTAAGATAGCAATGCTACTAGTGAGCCCTAACGAGGGGAAATAAAATCATTACATTGCTTTTTGTTTTACAAAGTAGATTCTTTTTGTTTTTCTTCGGATCTATTACATTTCAGTCTGTTACACATGATTTAGTCAGACCATGTAAGTCTTGCCCATAGTTTAAAGGCACGACAATTGCATTATACTCTTTGGAGAAAAAAGGGGGAGCTTGGTGAATAGAAATACCTGGAGGGCTTTTTAAATTTAAAGATAAATTAATTTTCCAGTGGCGATTCTAATATCCTGCCCATGGGCTGCACTGGAGGCTGGATTTTATAAGTTTCTGGAACTGAAATAATGTGGAGGGGGGATTTTATGGAAATTTTTTATTTAAAAAAGATTTTGTGCATAAACTTCATTGCTTGTGCCCTAGTAGACATACAACTATGTTGTGTTGTGAGGTTACCCTGAGATAGTTTGGGTAAGATAGCTGCCCTGAAGTCAGACTTGCCTCTGCTTTATGGATCATGTGGAGTCTCAGCTCCTAAGAGGTGGGCTCCCAGCACAAGGCTTGAAACACAAAACTGGTTTGTTTTCTCTCCTGCCCTCCCTGCTTCTTTTGTTTCACAATCGAAGGAATAAATGCTGCCTGAAAGGAACACTTCACCTCACCATGCTCTGAGTATACCTTTGAAACCACCTCTGGAAGTGAATGACTTCTTGAATATTATGAATATTCAAACAGTAATCAGCAATGTGGGTTTATGAAAGCAATGGTCTGAGGGAAATCCGTAGGTAGCAAACTCACGTAACATAACTGGTTATTATCATTTACTAATTTCATAAGTGGTTTGGCTAAGTCGTTTGTGGAGGAAATCTGTGCTTTGTCTTGGCACAGTGGGATGCTGAGCATTACCAAAGCTGAATGGTCTCATTTTTAATCAAGAGAAAGTGGGTTGTGTTTGATACTAAACTTATTTCTTCACTGGAGGTCATCTCTTCCTTTATTAGACACTACATTACAGTATCACAGTATGCTAGAGATTGGAAGGGACCTTGAAAGATCATCTAGTCCAATCCCCCTGCCGGAGCAGGAACACCTAGATAATGTTACACAGGAATGTGTCCAGGCGGGTTTTGAATGTCTCCAGTGAAGGAGACTCCACAACCTCCCTGGGCAGCCTGTTCCAGTGTTCTGTCACCTTCACTGAGAAGAAGTTTCTTCTCAAGTTTAAGTGGAACCTCTTGTGTTCCAGTTTGTACCCATTACCCCTTGTCCTATCATTGTTTGCCACTGAGTAGAGCCTGGCTCCATCCTCGTGACACTCCCCCTTTATATATTTATATACACTAATAAGGTCACCCCTCAGTCTCCTCTTCTCCAAACTATAGAGACCCAGCTCCCTCAGTCTTTCCTCATAAGGGAGATGCTCCACTCCCTTAATCATCTTCGTTGCCCTGTGCTGGACTCTCTCCAGCAGCTCCCTGTCCTTCTTGAACTGAGGGGCCCAGAACTGGACACAATATTCCAGGTGGGGTCTCACCAGGGCAGAGTAGAGGGGAAGGAGGACCTCTCTCGACCTACTAACCACCGCCCTTCTAATACACCCCAGGATGCCATTGGCCTTCTTGGCCACAAGGGCACAGTGTTGGCTCATGGTCATCCTGTCGTCCACTAGGACCCCCAGGTCCCTCTCCCCTACACTGCTCTCTAACAGGTCGTTTCCCAACCTATACTGGAACCTGGGGTTGTTCCTGCCCAGATGCAGGACTCTACACTTTCCCTTGTTATATTTCATCAAGTTATTCCCTGCCCAGCTCTCCAGCCTGTCCAGGTCTCGCTGGATGGCAGCACAGCCTTCTGGCGTGTCAGCCACTCCTCCCAGCTTAGTGTCATCAGCAAACTTGCTGATAGTACACTCAATTCCCTCATCTAAATCATTGATGAATATATTAAATAATACCGGTCCCAGTACTGACCCTTGAGGCACTCCACTAGTTACAGGCCTCCAACTAGACTCAGCCCCATAGACTACAACTCTCTGGCTTCTCTCCTTCAGCCAGTTCGCAGTCCACCTCACTACCTGATCATCCAGTCCACACTTCCTCAATTTAGCTGTGAGGATGCTGTGGGAGACTGTGTCAAATGCTTTGCATTCAGATCCTTAAAAGTGAACTCGCTGTAATCATTCCCACATTTGTTAGGAATATCACTTTGGAATATCAGAAAACACTTTCCACAATACTAGTCCATCTGAGGATCAGGTCCCAGATAGGGACTTCTCTCCTCTAGGGGAGAAAAAAGTAAGAAAATTAATAAATAGTTTTAGGGTGGAAAAAAAACCTCCAAAGTTCCTGATATGTTACAGGTATCTTGAGCTTATCTGTAACATTATAGCTTATGGGGCTAAATACCTTTGATTTTTGGGGATCTGGGTTTTGCTGTTGGAGTTTTATTTCTCATGCATGTTACACAGCAATTAAGTGGGTTGCTTTTAAGCCTTGCTTGCTTCTCATCCTGAGAAGTCTCTTGGCTGTATACTTGCCTTATCCCATTAGAATACCCTGTGGCTAATTTTCTTGGTTATCTTCATGCCTAACATTTCGTGTTGATCACAGAGCACAGAATAAAGGCTCATTTCACCTGGATACTGTTCTCCCTTGCAAATCTTTCCATAGTTATAAAAAAAGTCCTTTTAATAATTTTTTATTGCAAGCTCTTTAAGATGGAGGCCATTCTTTAATTGTTAATTTGTACAGCGCCAGGCTTTGTGGAATCCTGATTTGTGTCTGGGACTCCTAATTATGACACAGATAGAAATCATGAATGTGTCACAGATGCATATTCCCCATGTACCCAAGAGTGATGGTCTTGCCACTGATGTCTAATGCAGAACTTCGTTATCTTGCTTTCCAGGAAGTACTTTTTTAAGGTGAGGTTAGTTGCATATGGCTATTTGGATGCTATTCAGGCCATTAGAAATGTTCCTAAGTGTGACATAGCAGGTACTTTCCTATTTAGAGATGTCCGTATTTTCTCTTGCTTAAATAGTTAAAGACACTATCTTTGTACTCTTGAAAAAAACTAACCAGTCCTTATCCAGGCAAAGCAGTGTTTTACTTACCAGAATAGTGTAATTAGTCTGAGCTGCAATTGCATCCTTGAATCTCTGCATCTTCTCAGAATCCTGTTGGGGGAATGAATATATACCTTATTATTGAATAAACTCTCAATGAAATAGCATCTTACATCAGTTTACGAGCCACATCCCAGCAAGTGCTCTCAAATGTCCCTTGCTCCTGGCTCAGGTGTAAGTACTCTTTATAAACAAAAAGCCATAGGGATTCAATATCCTGATCAGCAACAGTGCCTGGTTGTGCAAGGGTTGAACAGGTTTGATGGTGGTGATCTGAAGTCAAGGAAAGACCTGCAGTTCCTTTTGTGGATTTCTTCCATGGATTTTGGAGGTGTAGGTTATTACTAATTGAATCACTCTGAAGTAGGGAAAATTATTGCCTAGTGTAATTCAGTGTTTTCAAAACACCCAGGCAGCCTGTCTCCTCCAGAATAGTTTATCTAGACAATGACAGCGATATTAATGAAAGCCATTACTGATATTCTACTAGCCAGTCAAAAATTACTCCCTGGTGTGAAAGGGCATCTAGAGTTTTCCAAGGCTGCTCTACCCCCCACAGATGCCTCACATTTCAGATAACAAGCCAGTAAATTTTGACTCCTGTCAAATGGCAGCCTTTTATATTAAGGGAACGATCCTAGGAAGTGCTGCCCTGCAGTACATCAAGTCCGACACTGCAACTTTGAGCGACCCTGAAACAGGCAGAAATGACTGGGCCTCCAGATAAACAGGGAACCTTCAGCTCCTATGGACGATGAATGATCTTTTGAACAAAGAACTCATTTCAAAAACAATCCAAGGCCACCACCAGGGGCCTTCAAAGTACAGAGTTTGATGTTTTTTCACAGGGATAGAGCTAGGCCTTAGTTCCCTTATACAGATTAAATTACCAAATGCAGTCTTTAAATCTGATTAATTTACAGCTATTCAAGCAATCTCTGCAGTGTCAGTTGCTGCTTCCTTTACAGCAAGTGTCAAATACATGAGTTATTTCTCCTTCTAGAGAATCGGTCCTATTTGATCAGTCTTTGACTGTTCCAGTTATCGTTTGAAGATCATCTTTATTAGCATCAGATAGAAATCTGTTTTTAATTTGATTTGGATTAATGGCTACTAACAAACAGTATTTTGGGGAGTTCAAGGCTACTGAAACCAAGTGATGTATCTATTTGTGTGAAAACCAGATTTAACCCCTTCATATCCAGACACAATCTGTAGGACTAAAGAATAAGAATTGGATTAGGGTTGTGTTAAGTGAATTTCATTTCTAATCAGTCTGTGATAATAATATATATATAGGTTTGAACTGAAAGACAAAGATGTTCCCATCAAAGCAAAGGTTTCTAAAAGTTTGTTAGAATGAATGATCATAGATCAGTTTAAATGTCTTTTGCATCTGTCAGTGGGCAATAAACTAGGAAAGCTGACAGTGGATTGGTTTGCATTACGTTTGCAGGTTTCTTAGAGGAGAGGGAATGAACCCATTATTCTCCCTGTTCAGTACTGCCAAGTCATTCAATGTAAAGATTTTGGGGCTGAGATTGAGCTCACTCGAGACATACGTGGCATTGTGCTGTTTGCTTGTATGAAGCCGTACAGTTTAGGATGCTGTGAAGCATTGGCATAATCTCAGATTTGCATGGTAAAGCAGTGAGAAGCTTTGGTAGAGCTGCAGAAGTCAGAAAGTGTTGGACTAAGGAATGTGGGAAGAGGTTGTTAGAGGGAACAAGAAGGACCTGCCAAAACAACGTACTAGGAGCAGGCTGGCTCCTCCTAGAAGTACAGTCAGCCTGCAGCAGTGTGCACTGGGGCTGTGGGTAGGCTGAGCACCCAAGTGTGGAGGAGAAGGTGTGCAAAGATGACAGAAGCTTCTAAGGAAATTTGATTACAGATCATGTAGTCAGATAGGACACTGATAGCAAATAACCGTTTCTTCTCTGCTGTATGGTAGTCACTATTATGTGCAATAGTATGGTCATAAACTGCCTTGGAATACCCACTCAGCATGTGGAATTATTACTTCATGTTTCCTTTGAGTTATCATTTTAATATGGAACTTACTTGAGTCTTGTTTAATTATGAGCTAAGCTCTGGGCATGGTAACCTTAAGGAGACTGAAGAAGCAGTGAAGGAACAGAGCACTTCTCTGGGCAAATTTTCCTCACCCTCTGGGACATTAGAGCTTGATTTACAGTATTTCATTAATATGCACTTAATTCACTCATTGCCCAGCAATGCTTTGAGCAGTGCTATGCCAGATTCTAAAGAACAGCCATGTGGGCTGTTGCCACTGGAGTGGGCTTACTGTGCAAAATAATCCACATTGTGGCAGTGTTTTGCATCTAAAGAGCCACCTGGAAATTCCCTGTACAGCAGCGAAGTGCAGTGGGTGGAAGCGGCACACAGAGAGATGTTGGAGGAGGCTCTCTGGGGATGGCAGGCGGGACAGCGCACAAAGCTGTTTGTGCAGCTATAGTCTCAGCTGTACCTCTTGCATCCCCATCTACTAAGTACAGTTCTCATGCTTCTGGCGAACAGATGGTGGTGCCTCAAAGAAAAGCAGCTTGGTTTTTCTTTTTGTAGGATGAAGTCAGGGCAGTCTGGAGAGTTGTTTCATTAGCTTGATGACTTTTTTTCATCATGAAGGTTCAGGCCCCTTGAGGATCCTATAAAACTATTTGGTAAAAACTGACTTTAAACCCAAAAAGATCAGCCAGCCAGAAAGATCAGACAGAACATGTACACCTAATCCTGAAATCAAAGCATGTGATTTATATCACTTCACACATTGCAATCTGCAGCAGAGCAATCTACTGCAGGGGACCTGCCGGGCAATTCCCCTGGTGTGGCAGTATAATGATCCTGAACTGATCATGCTCAGCCTAGGCCTCTCCAGGGAGCTAAATTTGGATCTGATGATGGATCATTCAGAAGACAGTACTAAATCTAAAATCAGATATTTGTTTCTTCTTCTTATAATGTCATGTTTGGGGGCCTCTGAGTCTTTCGGATGCTTAAATAAAAATAAGGAAATATATATATTTTGCTTAGTGGCTGGTCTGCGCAAAACCTCAAATCGTGTAAGGCTTGCCCTTTGCCTTTATGTTCCCAGTTAACAGTTGCAAAGTGGGAGACTGTGGATCATGAATGCATTATTTTCTTAGTGTTTTGCCAAAGGAGGCAGAGGGAGCCAGATCAACATACCGATAGAGTTGTCTTCTCATCAGTCATTGCTTTTACAAAAACAAATGCTTCTGAGGTAGCAGACCTAATATTGTCGACTCTGCCCTCGTCAAATCTGCGTATGGAAGCACTTTCGTAGGTAGGGACAAGTCTCCTGTGGCATCTGAGAGAATGAAGTAAGAAAAACAAAGAGTAATTGTTTTCAAGGAGTCATAAAGACTAAAAGAAATACAGCCTGAGTATGTTTTATTGTACCAAGCCACAGTTTTATTCTTTGCATAGTATTCATCTTAATGTTGATAGAATTCTGTAAGAAACTTAAAAAAGATGGATGCTCACTCCTTTCTAATACGAAGAGCTGCATACAGCTGTATACATTCTAGTTATGTATTGCCAGTAAAAAATGACCTGCTATGTAAAAACAAGGCTAGTAAAACTAAAATTTATTGAAAGATCTCAAGGAATGTTTTATTTGTACTGCATCATGAAATAATAGTGTAATTAATCATTTATTTATGGGCTTGAAATATGTTTTATTTAAAACTAGAAAAAAAATGTACTCTGTGTGTGAATGAAAAATAGAAAACTAAAAGGGTGTTATTTGAGACTACGAGCTGGAATGAAAACCTACGTAGCTAATAGAACAGAGAGTGAAGACTGTTGTTTAATTTGCATCCAGGTATATAGCTTCTATTCCTCACTTCGGGACACCTACTGTGTCTTCCAGTTGAAGCAGAGGTCTCAGAACCTAGGTTTTTACCCTAAGGTTTTTGTTGCATACAAGGGATTTATATCCTGGCTGGGGTCAGATGAAAACCTTGGACCAGGTCATTGTTGGAGTTTGGTTAATGGAATACACAAAACAGATGTTTAACAGATGTTAATAGAATACGCAAAATGTGTTGGGCATCTCTGGTTTTGAGTACGTAAAAATCAGTTCAGGATTTGCTTTGACTTGATAAAGAATTATTCGTGTAATACGCTGTTCTGCAGGAAACCATGCAACCGATCTCTAGCCTGGAGCGTTAGCTGTTGTGACTATGTAGAAAGGAGCATTTAACTTTAATAATACCTTGGAAGTTAGAGTGCGTTATAAAATTTTGGGATGCCTGTGAAGAAAGAAGCAGCATTAGTTACTGTCCTGTGTAGGAACTCTGACCTGATACGCTGCTGTAGGATTTTCCCTCTGAATGCTTTTTGCCCTGCTGTGCAAGGGATGCATATGAGGTGATCTGTGGTTTACTGCCACAGTTCCTCCCAAACTATGTGGGAGAAAGTGGTAAAAGTGTGTTTCTGCTCCACAGACTTGGACTCCCTGGCTGCTTCTGCTGCTGTGGGTAGCAGGGTTGGCAGCTACTCCCTGCCACATCCTCTCACTCTCTTCTCTATGCCAGATCGGAATGGCATGTGTAGGACACAGGGATGGGAAGGTAGAGCAAGGAGAGCAAAAAGGAGCGAAAGAAAGGACTGCTCTATTTCAGGGCAATTTCTTTCTTGTCTGACCTACAGTCAACAAGCAAGATAACTCATTGCCATGCAGGAGGCAATTGTTTGGGTGCTGAGGAAAAAAAAAAAACAAAAAACCCACAAACTGTGAATCTCCTCTTGTGTTGCCTTGTTCCTAAGAGTTGTATTAACTTACCTGTAAAATGCCAGCTGAAGTGCTACTTGAATGTAGGCATCTGGGCTAATCTTCTGCTTCTTAATAAATTCCTTTCCATAGTTTTCAAACTTGTAGGCAATGAAGTCGAGATTGTTTACTATCCTGGAAAGCAAGCAGAGGTAGTTACTGTGGGGGGAGCTGCAAGAATGTCTTGTTCTGTTTCCATTTGCAAGTAAAACCCAGAGATCATTTCCTGCCTGTGCCGACTTGGAGATGAGTGGGTTTCTGCTCTGCAGACAGCCCCCACCTTTGGTAACTTGCTCCTAATCAGTAACTTTTGTTCATACAGGCTCTAGACTGGGCTTGTTACCTGCAGCCTTAATGTGAACTGTGGCACTTGGGTCACATTCTGTTGAGTATTCGAGTAAAACACCTTTTTTCTTTTTAAACTTAGTGTTTCTGCTCCTGAAGCCCAAGTAAGGGCCTCCTTTGTTCTCAACAAGTTTGAGATTTACTAGTGTGGGAAATGGGTGTATTAAACCTGATGAAGGCTGTAAGCTCCTTGCAAGTTTCAATGTAGGGGACTGCTACCTTTATTTAAAACAAAAAAGGAATTACTCTGCACCCTGAAAGTCTTCATACTCTCATGTATGCTTCTAACCACTTTGAGGTCTCATCTAATGCAGTCACGCTGGACATACTTACAGCTGACCATGCAGACAATGCATTAATTCTCTGCAGGGAGAGCACAGGCCTGAGTGTTGAGATGAAATAATTTGAGGGGAAAAAAATTAATCTTATTGCCATCCTCCCCTCCCAAATACCATGCAAATATTTTACAGTATGCAAACACAGTCAAAAGAACTAACCTTTGTAGCAGTAACATGGATGCAAACAAATTATACTCCTGAATTCAAATTGTTGATTCAAACCAGTTGTTTTCTGCTGTCCCATATACATATCCCCATTGCCCTGGCTTTGGCTTTAGTCAGGTGAAACCCATGAAATGTATCCTCAAAGCCAGAGGGCCTGCACTGTTTGCATCCTGTGCAAATAGGGCTCAAATGTTTTTACAGTGGTCTTTCACTTTCATAATATTTACATGGAAAGAAAATAATGTAAAGCAATTCCTGAATACAGTTAAGTACCTCCAGCCATTTCGGTTGCCATCAAGCAAAGAGATGCTAGGTATGTCCAGCTTGGGAAGATGGGGAGGAGTGGGAGGGCAGAGAGAGCTCTCTAGGAGGAAACCCATGCCAGCAGGCAATATGCTGGGCAATTCCCAGATTGCAATCATTGCTGACAAAAATGAGGCATCTGTGCTACCTTTGGAGTTTTTCTGCTGCTGATGCCAAATGTGTCTGAATTTCAGGGGAGCATTTCCATCTTAGTCTCCGTGGAGCAGGAAGCTCGGTCACTGAATCAGCTCGGACTAGTTTCTTGGAACTTTCCTTCCTGTTAAAGTGTGAGAGAAAAGTCATTAAGGTCACAGCAATAATGTCTTACTAAAACACTGGGTTTTTTTTAGCAGGCAAATGACTGGTTTCCAGCAGTTGTATGGGCCTTAATGGCCCTGTACATCGGGGGAATTTGCCATGGGCAGAGGCTTCCCGGAGTGGGTACAATAGCTGTACTGAATGGGGACTCACATGTGCTTGAGCAAGTGTTCAGTGCACTGCACCAGTACGATGCCATCGAAAGGGGAATGTTCACACACGGTACCGCAGACGCCATCTCTTCCTACCACAAACTAAGCAAGGAAAAGAACAAGTGCAAGATATATAGGGAATAAATCATGTTCTGGGTAAGTTATCCATGATGGCAACCTAAAAAAAAAAAAGATGTTGTTCTCCTGTGGTTTTCTTATTGCTAGTATCAGGAACTTCCTTGACTTACAGATCAGTGGGTGACTTACAGACTTACTGCAGGAGACTTTCTTGTCCTAAGAATGGTGCTGCATTGGATACCTTTCATGCTGCTGTTTCAGACTGAGTCCTGTGAGAATGTAAATTTTAGCAATTCCCACTGGAGTCCCAAAATGAGATTAAGCATCTGCTTTGTGGTAGAAAAAGCCCAACAACAGAAAGGCTGGGGTTCTCCTTCCACATCTGGGGGCACTTCTGTATCTGGGAAGTCCCGTAGGATCACATTTTATTAAAATATCATATCAAATGAGCAAACTCATCCTTATTTGATGGCTTTCTCATAGCTTGTTTTACTGCCCTCCTCCCTCTTTCATTTTTTGTGTGGTGTTGTCTTCATTTCTCTCTTACTTGCCTTCGTTCCTGATTTCATTGCGTACACATGGTATGACTGGTGACACTTAACCTGCTGCACTGTAGTTCTGTGATACCCCCATGCGGCTGGTTACTTATGCATCCCAAAGAAAAGCAGATGTCTAGGACAAAACTTAAACTTGTCTCACTTGTTTCCTGTCCTTTTCCTGGACTTTCCCCCTGCTTCTTTTGAAGTGTCTTTGGCTGGACTTCTCCCGCTCAGCTCACTCTGTGTATTTGTGTCACACATACACATCCTGCCTCCTTGGTTCCCATGAGGCTTTCACAAAGTAAGTGTGTGATGCAGCAAGTTTACCTGGGTGTTTTCTGATGCCTTACTGCAAAGTTGTAGAAGAGTATGGAGAGTCCGGTGAGAATGGCTTCCTGCATAATCAGTGTTTGCATGAAAGAAAATGGGATCTTTTTTCCCCCTAAGAATTTCTCTTTGTCTTTGAACTACTTCTGGCCTGAATACATCTGGATGTATGAAGCTCTTTCATATACTAGGCAAATTTATGTGCTTTCTGCTACCTTCTGATCATAAACAAAAAGAATATCTTGTTTATTCCCAGCTACTTGAAACATCTCAACTTGTGGACCTGCAAATAACAGGGTTCTAACTAAAGACAAATGGTTTGTTCTTTAAAAACACATCTAGTAATAAACACAGTCTGCTAAGAACATCATTTGCAATGGCATAAATCAGGAACGACTATTGGAATGTATTTGCACTGGGGTAAGCCTGTGCAGGTGAAATTAGTGGTTTCTCTTTTTGTGTTGCTGTTCTTAGATGTGCAATTATTGTTGCTTTTGCCATGAGCTGTGTATCAGTCAGGGCTTTTTTCAGTTTTTCATGAGATGTCAGCATTGTTGACAGTTGGAGATTAATACATTGCTTCACCATGGGTCTATTGCAAAATGTGAAAGTAACAGTGCAACCCTTTCAACTATGACAATCAAAATCTGATTGGGGAAAAAGGCAAAAGCACTGGAGAAACTGATACTTCCGGTAAAGTCTCAACAAGGATGCCACTAAATGAGTAAACACTCTGTTAAGTGAGAACTTAATGGTAGCTTAAACACGTTACATTATAAGCAGTAGTATTTCTAGGTTGTCAGGAAAATGTGTGAGAAAACACAGAAAGCTATTATGCTTTTCTTTTTTGTTCTGGGATGCTAGTACAGAATTTGTATTTAATTTGATTTGGTGTAACTGAATGCACACTGGTTTGGGTTTTTTGTCAGATGTCATTCTGTATGTCTCTGTATCTGTCTACCTCCTCAAGTGCAAAGGGCGATTTCAGGTAAGGTGAAAGCATACCTGTGTTGGAGAAGGCACTCCTGCTGCTACAGCAAGGTAGTAGGTCTGCTTCTGCTGCCTGGCAAGGAACAGTGCTTCTCACACCAGCCCTGCCTTGGCAGATGCTGACACCACCTTTCTCTTCTTCTCCCACTTAGAATCAAGCAGTCCCTACTACCATGGGGCACCTGGTGGCATTACATGCAAGTAATATCATAGTACTGTGAGGTTTTTACCTGCATGGGTTTGTCATACCAACGATTGGCCCCGTTTTTGTGGTAGCCTCCCCCATGTAGCAGTTGCAATGCCATGTTGGTATCACTGAGTTCCACCCCGCTTGGGCTGTCCAGGCACACGAGGCATATGCACCGTTCAATCATGTCAAGAGAATCGCGGTTAGTAGAGTCTGGGGATAAAAAAGTGAAATGTTCACATCCTCTTACCTGCAGTGCAGGGCTGGCTGGGAACCCTGTTGCCTTGGAGAGCATAGAAGATCTGACCCTGACTCTGCAAAGGGCTGGTATCTGCAGAGTTCTCTCAACAGCAGAACATATCAATGCAAGGAAATGTTACATTGAGGCATTCATTCATGCGTTAACGTTCGCAGTATTGCTGTGTATCTTTCATATGATTCAATAATATCCACTTTCTTTTTCTGCCTTTCCTTTCCTGAAGTAATTGTATTACAAGATAGATCTGTTTTAGTCTTAACACCAGCAGTGCTTACTTATTTTATGTGTAACAGTGAGGACAGGTGGAAAATAGAGAATTTCAATGCTCACGCAATTGCTGCAGTATTCTGTTCTGGAACAGCTGGGCCCATACTGGTTTTGTGCTGTTCTTTCATTAAAATCCTTTTCTGGACACAGAACAGCAGGGCCCATGTTGCCCTGGACCGTGCATATTGCCTGCATCATGCAAGGAAACGTCTGTAGACGAGGTTGTGATGTTTAGATTCTGAGCGTGATATTGCCAAAATCATGGGTTGCCACATTCCTCTTTCCTCCTATCACTAGTACACTGCTGAATAAAATGTGCTTTTTCTGTCTCTCTGTTTCTTTTCCCTATCCTGTCAATCTTGCTTCTACAGGTGAACTACAGAGGCTATTTTTACATTGTGTTCAGTGCTTTCTTCCTTATTTATGGTATATTTATGTGGGAGTTTTAGTCTCAGTTTCTTTAACTCAGAAATGTTAGGAAAATAAAGGTGTGCTTGCTTCTGGGGGCTGGTTTGAGGCATAGGAAGTATTTAATCATGAGCAGTTACTACAGTTCTTAATTGAAAGGATAAAGGTGTGGAACCTGTAACAAGAACTTGGTTTATTCAAAAGCATATAACATCATTACTTGCTGTTAAATGGTTGTTGACAAGATCAAAGGAAAAAGGCCTTTCAAACAACTTAAAATTCCTTCCATTCTTAACAGATCAGCTTTCATCTGCTGGTTTTGTTAGATGTTTTTAAGAATATTCTTAACTAAAGGTATGAATTCAGGTTGTTCGAACCTTCTTGAAAGTCTGTGCTAAGTTGAATAAATTTGTGCTTAATTCCTGAGACGATTTTAGCTGAAAAGATGGAAAAAATATTTTAAAAGAACCAATTCTAATTTACATTTAAAATATGGAGCATATTTAAAAATGCGCAGGTTTTTAATGTCTCTAAATATAAGAAGTAGCTTGACTTTTTGAAAGAACAGCATTTTTCAAAGTAAGAAAAGATGTACTTTCCCAAAATGAGTAACATAGGTTAGTGAGGAGCTAGAAAAAAAGAGCCCTAGATGCTTCTTATCACCTAGGTTCATTCTGTAGATGCAATGTGGTAAAACAGAGCACAAATATGTGAGAAGAGGGGAAGCTGTGGCCTCTTTCAGGTTATGGTGAAGCTCTGTGTATTGCTGTCTGGTGCCAGCCTGATTTCATGCACACTGTGTAGGCACCTGGCAGAGCACAGTGTGTTGTCTTCCCTTGCCCACAGAAGCAGAGTTCTGGTGTTCCTATCAACTCCTACAAAAACTTGGGCCAGGAGATTGAAATTGATGGGAAATGCAGATAGATTGAGTTTTCTGCCAGTGCTCTGTGTTGCGCTGATATCCCTACGCATTGTCTTCAAAGGCATTTAGAAGCTTTATAAGAGGGAAGACATGTCCCTGTTCTCTTCGCTGTAAAGCTCTTCTGGTATCTGACACTTACAGGGCTGACCGTAATTGTGTATTTATTCCACTGATGGTCCGGGTACAAAGACTGAAAACATCCCTGTGAATGGAAATTGCCCTGTACACATCAGCTGCTGGTATTTGTGGACAGGCACCTTCAAGGAAAAACTGCTTGGATAGTGATTTACAAACTGCTCACAGCTTGCTCAGCATTCTGCTTTTTGTTGTCAGATAGGTTTATATGTATTTTATTGTGGCTGCTGCCCACAGGTCTTTGACAGATATGAAGACCTTATTCTGACATATGGCTTCAGGTATCTTGAGTCTAGGTATTAGAGTGAAGCAAATTAAGCTCTGCTAGAAACAGGGAAGTAGGGGAAAGATGCCCTTACAGAGAGAAACAGATATGTCCAGAAAGCTGATCAGGCACTGAAAAAATTATCATGTAAAGCAGGCAATGAGCTGTGCAAGAACTCATGAACCATGACTTGGGATGGAAAACAAATATTTCCAGAAAGAGCTGAAACAGGAAAAGCATGAGAATAAGCCTAAAGCCCTGCAAGATATTTCTTGTCCTGCCTTTCTAATGCACATAATTGCATTGAATTGACAGGTCAGCTTTTAGTTATTTGGAGGTTTTGGGTTTTGTTTTTAAAAGGAAAATATAAGAAGACAGGTCTGAATGAAATTCAGTTATAGTATGCATGGGACAGCAGCCCCTATAGCAACAAGAATTCACTTCCTCTACTTAGGGGAGTGAGTTAGTTCTGCAGCCTGAATGCAGTCAAAATACTAAATGTGTTCATAAATCAGTGATGGCTGGGGTTTTACAGTTGCTTCTTCTTCACCTTGAAGACACATTCTCTACTTGTAGGTCTGTGCAGGCCCATACATATATTTCTTTCACAACCTCTTCAAAGTGCTGTATAAGTCCTCTCTGTCCCAAAACATCTTCACTTTCCCTGCCCCATATAGAACAGTTGTAGTGACCCCTTCACCTCATGCTCTTCACTAGAGGCATTTCTCTTCCTCTGTTAGTTCTATGAACATTTTGTCACAGAAAAGAAAGAGGGCTGTTAATAATCATGTATCCATTTGTAACAACAATGCATTATACTGTATAGAGGACCTGTGCTAGTATGAATGGTCTAGGATGAGATTCCTGCTTAGATTAGAGAAGGCTCACATCACATTGCTGTGATATTTGCTAGTTCAGAATATGCATTTTTTTTTTTTTCAGCTGCATAGCTGAGTTGGCTTTCTTCCTCATTAAAATGAGTATTTTGGCAAATACCAGGCAATCCAAAACCACTACAGAGATGGTTCTGCTAGTTTTTGTTATTTTGTCCTTCTTCTTTAGGGTGATGCAGGTTTACAAAGATGATTTTCCTGCAGTTTTCAAGGTATTCAGTTTTACTTAAAAGCATGCATGAACACAAATGACTAGGGTTTTTCTCACTTTTCATTATAATAGGGAATCTTTTCTCTACTGTTTTAAAAGGAAAAGAAGGGGAGGGGAAAGCCTGAAGATTAGACTGGTACCATGTAACAGTGCTAGGACTCTATGTGTGTTTGTGTGTTTACCTATATAAAGTTATTGTAAGCACAAATAAACTTGAATAAGAAAATGAAAGATCTTCCTTGGGATGGTAAAAATACTTTGAGACTATCAGCAACTCGTATATTCCAGAGCATAGACAAAACAGCAATATTTTCTGTAGCATTGATGAATTGGAGCAAAAGACATGACTTATTTTTTTTTCAGGAGAGAAATATGAATACGTAAGTCATCTATAATGGCAAAAAGGGGGCATTTACATCACTTAGCCTCAGTGTAAAATATATAAGGTGTGATGTGATACAGGCAACTAATCCCACTCTTAATTTTCATCTGTTTGAAAGTCAGGCATTCAAGTCCAGAATCCTAGACAGCTGAATGATGCCTGTTGTTGAAAGAGAGAAGTATCCCCAGAGAGTAACTGGTGTCACCTTTTCTTGATACTCCCTTAAGGTTTTGGATTAATCGACCTAGTACTTTCTGGTTTTCTCTATTGACTAGAGAGAGTATACAGCTAGATTCAGTAGGTGTTAACTTGTAGATGCTTTTGTCAGATGAGATGAAAAAAAGTCCAAGAGATGAAATATAGTTGCCAAAAGCTAAGAGGATCCATCCTTCCTATTGGTACAAAATGGATGTGAAGAAAGAGACAAATCACACAATCTGATGTAATGTAATTTATGTGATGAAAAACAAAGAATGGAATGAGAGCTATATACATGGCGTAACGCTTAAACATACACAGCCAAAGGGTCAAACCGTTTCTGCTGATTCCCTGGCAACACACATCTGAACACTTACAGGTATTGAATTTCCTCCTGCTAGAAAAATTCAGCAGTGAGGTTGTACATTCAGTCCTATATTTGCTGTAGTGTTCACTCCCAGCAGAGAAAGGCAATGATGGTGAGGAGGAAGATGATGGAGAAAGCTGGAATTGCTGCTGCTAACCTTTCATAAGGATCGTCCTGGCCTCTGCCCACTCTGTCCTTCCGTCTGTTGTCAGCAGGCCAATTGGAGGCAGCATTTCCTCTTCATTCTCTGCCATTTTGGCTATCTTTTGTAACTGAGTGAAAAGATCTCCCTCACTGAGACGACGGAAATTAATGACAACATCCAAAACAAAAAACTGCAAAAAAAATGACAGGAGTCAGAGGAACAGTCACAGATGGGTTGGACCCTTACTGGTCCAACATCGTGCTTTTGCCTGGGTAGGTGTTGAGAAGCTCAAGTCCTGCTTGGAGAGCCAGGCCTGCAGATAATGGAGTACATAAACACTGGGGACTGGCCCAGGGTTCACCTGTCCTGTGTTTTTACACCACTGTAATGCTGGTTGCTATAAGGGCCTTATACCATGTATAAGCTCAAATAAAACATACTTTATTTGAATAAGCTTAAAAAAACCCTGAAGAGATAAAATCAGGAAGGATCTAAATAATTCTCATGATATTATTTGTTTAAAAATAACCTATAGAATCTACAGAACTTCTCATTGAGGTGAGGAACAGGACTTCCTGGAAAGGGGGGCACTGGAATCTACTCCTTTATTCCAAGGGGGACTGTAGCCATGGCTCCAGTACTACAAATGCCAAGCTGGGTGACAAGGTACTCTGCCTAGCCAATATACACTGCTACATGCCAGCATTTTTGATTGGGGCAGGTTCATTCTACTGTTCCAGTACTTCTGCCTGCACCTGTGCTATCTTCTTCAGGTATAGCTTAGGCCCCCCTATATGGGATGGTGGCATATATGCCATGTGTTGTGTGCCAATGCTTGACTGTCAAGAGAAGAGCATTTCCAGCAAATGCACTCCAGTAAGATTTTTTTTTTTTTTCCTCTGTGGTTTCATCTCTGTTAATAAACATGGTTTTTTTTTTGAATGAGAAAGCAAATGCATTCTGCCACATTCCTCCTTTCTGCATCACTGTACTTGGAACATAATGTGGGCTAAGGACAAAAATGCTGCAGAAGCACCTTTTCGAAATACTGACAGCAAACGCTTGGTAAGAAGTGAGCTCATACGTAGCATGGTAATTGTGTTTCTAAACAATGATGAGATTAGGCTCCTCTTGAGTGATTTAAGCAACCTAAGAAATATATACTGAGAAAGGTACAAAAAGAGAATGCTCATTTACCTGATTGTTACAAGCAACAATGATGTGCTCTGGTTCTGGCATTACACTGCTTTTCTGGGCCACGAGGGTATCTTTGGTATGTCCTGGAAGACGATAGGAAGAAAAGAGCCCATAGTATTGCTTCATACAGAGAGGATGACCAGACAGCTGTCCACGAGCAAAATCAACAGGTAAAACGTGGCTGGAGAGAGAGAAGAAGAACAAAGCCAGAGGAAAAGGGGGAGGAGAGAGGGAAGAGAGAGACAGAGAGGAAAAGAAATCTAATCTGTCCTTTGTTCTGTTACAATTAGATCAGGTACAACACAAATTGAATAATAAAACAAGACTGCAGTATAAGGGAAATAGATGAATTCCTACGCCAAAGTTAAATACATCTTTCCTGGCAGCTTCATGCATATTCATTAAGCAATTGCATTATCATCTAGTGGAAATTGAAAGAATAGCAGGTCACAGGCAGCTTTGCACTGTGCACGGGAAACCTGCCTAGATGGGACCCTGGAAACTTGCGAGGACAGAAATCAGGAAAACAGGTGGAAAAGGCATAACACCTTGGAAAAAAAGTACTGGTGAAATTCACTGCAGGTCATGGTGGCCCTGTACTGTGCAGGGTGCTTAGGGGGTGTGTGAGAGAGCCTTGCCTGGTGAACAGGAATGACTGGGGCAATACAGAGGGTATTTCTGTTTTCCATAGAGCTTCACTTACAATGATAACCCTTACTTAGACCTATGGGGGAATAAATGTTGAAGACCTAGTCCTTTTTTATCGGAAGGCAATTGAAAAAATCCAACTAAAAAGGCTTCTTTAGTGGCCAGAAATAAGAAAAAAAAAAAATCATAATTGTGCTAATTTCTTTCTTTCCTTTTTTATGGATTCTAAAATATCCCATTGACATTGCCACAGTAAATAATGGTGCTGTTGTTCACAAGAGGCTGTCAAGATTATAGAAGGAAGAAGATCTTGTGGTGCTGAGTTTTTCCCTCAGCAAAAGAGGACTATGTTTCCAGCCTGCTGGAGAGGGACAGGTGCAAAGAAGCACCCAATACATACAGCTGATACAGGGTAAAGTTTTATGATAGTTTATCTTGTTTAACTGCCTCTTTGGAACTCACAATGTTAAAACAGGGATATCCACTTTATTTTTTTTGGCTCTCAAACTCTTACTTCCTTGTACAGGTGCTTTTTTGTTGTTCCTTATTAGCAAAACAGGGTTATTAGTGTTCTCCTTCTCCTCCATTTTGCATAATGCAGAAATTCTCTTGCATCTAACAGAGTTTTAAAGAGCATCTATAATGATCAAAATTAGTGGAATAGCATGGTGATTTAGATAAGACAATCCGTAATAGCAGCTAAGAAAGGTGTTGTTGACTGATTAATGGCACCAGAAAATCTATTACTGATTTAGGAGATGTCTGTGTAAGATCTTACAACTTTTTAGTGTGAGCAATTTAGGCTTTGTTTGAAATCTTAGTCCTGGCAACTGCATGGAATATCTGCACTGTTAAATCTAAAAGTTTAATGGCTGGGTTTGGACAGGAGTATTGTACATCCGCATGTGGGATGATCCAAAAGAAGCTAGCAGTACACTTACTGGTAGAAGTCCTTAATAGCAACAAGGAGCTGAAAATGTTACAGTTGTGGTGTCCTCATAATTATATAGGAGGGGTGATAAGCAAACAGTACTAACAATATGAGGACACAGTAGGGAGGATTTAAAGGATTATTGATTTAAAGTTGGCAAGTCTGATCACAGAAGTCTTTGGATCTAAAGTAGCATGGTCAGAATAGTAGGAATTTAAATTATCCTTTGTCAGAGCAATGTGGTTTCTTTATTTCATCTCAGATGCTGTCAGATGAAGATGCAGCAAACTGCATTAGTATGCACTGGTACTTCACAATGTGCTAGTACTGGTATATGCAGTTGCATGGTGTATCTTGGACAAAAGCACGTTCTTAAATAAGTACCTCTTCTATACTTTCTGAGTAGCTGTCAGACTTTTGAAATTGAAAAATCAAACAGCCTCTTCTTTCTTTTATCTAATTGATAGATAATAGGGACTTTGTTGTTTGAACATGGACTTTTTCTTCCTCATCCAAATAAGCAATGGTTAAAGCATATTAAATAGGCCTCTTGTATTTCCAGACAGAAAAATTACTTCTTCCCTAATATAGTGTGGCATCCATTGTGCTTGGCTTTCCATTGTTTCTGTTCTTCGGGGAGCAGTGGTTGTTAAGAGCTACCTCATAATGGTCTCAAGAACCATGGATTTTCCCCTGTTCTTGTATACAGAAAATAACAATGGCACAAGTAACTTCTTACTTTTACTAGCCACTGTGCCAGCCTAACTGTGGTAAGGCTTCATTCTCCTGGCAGGTCAGTGCTATCAGGGAAGGTGTGCAGGCTGTTTAACCACAGTGCTGCTGCTCTTTGTGTGTGGAGAGCACAGACTTCTGGTGTGTTCTCAATAGCTCAGGCAGATCGTGTGTGTTGTTTGGGCTGCACTGCACGTGCTGGACTGATGACTGCCAGCCATCAAAAATGATCCATCTCCAACCTATTAGATTGCAGTAATAAAGAAGAAAGAACACAAAAAAATTGCTGAGGCACCTGCCCCGAAGCATGCTGGAGCCCCAGCCCTTCCAAATGGTAGAAAGGTACAAAGCAGCCTAACCCTGAGCATGTTAGAGCACTCTCGAGTCAGAAGCCCTGTGGATACTCAAGCAGCAGCTTTCCTTCCAAGCTACTTACGTGTCCAGTAAAGCTTTATAGTCTTGCACTCCTGAAATGAGATTGGCAGCAAACCTGCAAGTAGCAAATACAAATGACATCAGCCTTTTGTTATTTGGCAACACTAGGCTGTTTCTGAGAGACAGAGGAGAGCCTGAATGATTGATGACAGCATAAGGAGAAAAAGCCTCCTGGCTTGGCAAAAAGAGTCCCCTGGCCTCATCCAAAACACAATTAATTCATGTCAAGAGAAATATGAAATCCTAGGATGGTCCCTTCAAATGGTTAAACAGGAGGAAGCCTGAAAGCATTTATTTAGAGAATGGGAGCAGAGGCTGAATATTTAATAGAATCCTTAACATGGGTTTCAATATCAATACTCCTAAGCTGTCCAATTTATTAGAGTACTTCCTGTCCTAAGCAGATATTCTTTCTGCAGAGCTGTGGGAAGGTGTATTATTTTCTGACAATGCCCATTTGCACTGTGTCTGAACAGGAGGCTCTGAAAAAAATATTTCCTTGTTAAAGCACGTGCATTATAAAATGTAAAGTGAAGGTCTTTTGGAAGCTGTGTGCACAATAAAATTAGTCAGTAATGAATGGGAGCATTTACAGTTATATTTAAAGTAGAAAGATACATTGGCTGTCTATGCAAAATGTTAAAATCACACATTGGCTTCAAGATCCTGCCTGTTTTAGAATAGCATAAATTCACATGCAGGTAATTCCTTCAGTAATGAGCAGCTAGAGAGTGCTAAAAGCAAAGAGGAAAACTGCACTATGTGAGGGTAGATCTGATCTGGTTTACTGTTTTAAAAGGGAAAAATGTTTTGGCAAAGGCTGAAGAATGGAATCCTGTTTTAAGGGTATCTGGAGAGGTATATTCTGTGCTTGGCTACTTGCTTACCTTTTAACTTTTTAAATGATTGTAATTGGCCACAACAGCTCAAAGGAGAAAGGTCAGTTCAGGGCTGGGAAGGATGGGCCTGAATGAAGCGGTGTTCTTGGGGAGGAACGATTTCTGAATTCTTATTCTTAGATCTCCTGTGTTTCTGATGCCCTTTTGGGCACCTAAGGGGGACAATTTAATGCCAGTGTGACCTTTTCAGTTTGGTATAAGTCATAGAGACAGCATGTTAGAAATTGTTTTCCTTTAAACAGTGTGTCAGAAATTAGTATTTATTTTTTCCATCGCAAAAGGATTTCCTCAAATTACACCATGAAAACTTTGCAAATGTTCCTTTAAAAATTATAAATCCCATGGCATTTTTTTTCATGCAATAAATGTAAAAGTAAGGACCCTTTCATTTCTGAATATCAGTATGAGTAACCCCAGAAAGGGGTTACTCATACTACTCAGCAGAACTAGTAGGAAATCATTTAACTGTTACAGCCCTTTTTTTTAATGAAAGTTGATTGTCTTTTTGCAAAGGAAGTACATTTAAAATAACCTTTCATTTAGCAAAAGCTGCAAAGTTGTAGTACATTACCTCAGCTGGTCATTCACATCCTTGAAATGCTGACGAGCAAAGATAATTGCTGGGCTGGAATTGACTGGAAGAGCTAGCCGGTTGTTGAGGTACATGTCATCCAGCCAGTAGTTAAACACCTAAGGGAAGGGGACATGAAATCTTGAAGCTATGAACAATATGCAGAGAAGCAGTCTGGGGATGAAGAGAGAGTGGTGCTCCTGGTGTCAGGCATGGGCTCTGATTAATGGAGCTGCTGGGCATTTTCAGTCTGGGCTCTGTGACCTCAGCTCAGCTGAAATCAGCCGCAATTCCATAATCCTGTTTTTCAATCAATGACAATTTACAGTGTGTTCCATTAAAAAGAAAACAGGCTCCATATTGTGGTGGCTTGGGTATTCTGTTGTGTGTTTCTCTCTACAACCAAAAAAAAGAGTACAATACGCTAACTGTTGACTCTTTAAGAGTAACTGGAATAGATTTAAGAAGTGGACAGAATTTTACTAGTGATGGCTTTCCTCAGGGGGCTTCAAATATTTGCCAATGATGCCAAGATGCTCTGTTGTTAGCCATCAGATACCATCTTGTATCAAGACAGAGTGGGAAAAGAATTTCCTGAACTTAACAGTTTGGTCCTGCAGATACTGGGATGTGGATAGGGCCCCTGGAGAATCCTCTCTGTGTCCATTGACACAAATGCAGATTGCTGATGCTCGACCCAGACAGACACACCTAAATTTCTAACCATTTTTATCAAAAACACAGGCGTTACAGTAACTGCATTCCCTTATGTCTGAGCAGAGCTTGAAGAATAATTGCTTGGAAAATGGAGGCTTTCATAAAAAGATCAAATGTTCTGTCTGAGTTTAGCTGGCGCGCTTTGCATATGGTAAATTATAACAACAATGAAATTATGCAAAAATAATTATGAATGCATGCATCAGTTGAAAAAGCTTTCCTCAGAGATATTTCATCACTGTTAGAACAGATGCTTCCCCCACAGTCTCTGGAGTCTTCAGGATAACAGGCTAGAGCTGTACTCCTGGCAAGTTAAATCCCAAATAGAAATATTTCTAGTTTATATTAAGAATCAGGTATTTAGTTTTAATAACTGGCATTTAATGTTGGGACATTTCACAGAATGGTTGTACATCCTTCTGTAATTTTCATGGTATATGTGGTTAAATGAACAGCTGTCTCCTAGAACATTATTTGCTCTCCTGGAGCACTATTTAAGTGATGGTTAATTTAGCCATCAAAACCATGAAGTTCTATGATTGGAATAACAAAATGAGATTGGGTGTCATTTAGGAGAGAGCCCTCAGACTGTGACAACAAGTAGTTCAGAAATTAAGCATTGCTTTTAAAACAAAAGCACTGTCAGAACTGTAGCCAGTTTTTCTGGCTATAGCAGCAACTTGATGGAGTTTTCTTGCGAGTCACAACTGAAAAGGGAGAATCACAATTACTGACGTCAGTAGCAAGCGTGCAGGATTTCACTAAACCCATTAAACAATTCAGTGTCTCTCTTCCTTGCTGGGATGGAAGAACTGCAGTAGAACCAGTGTTTCTAGTTTTCAGTTGCCATACTCTAACATGGTTAATGCAGGCAGGATGAACTGTGGCTTTGTGGAATGGTAACACCTACTTTATCTATGGCTTATTAAACCCTATATTGAAGTATTCTGATCAAACTGGATCAGAGCTCTGGGTAGATAGCTATATAAGGCGCTTTTCATAGCTCTATCAGAAACCATTTTTCATTTTAATAAAAGCTCTAAATCATTTTATTAAAGGAAAGGAAGAAATGAGATCCAAACCCGATGTAATACAATGCTTCCTACAGGTAGAGTTGACACCTGCATGCATGCACCTTGCATAAATTCCTTCATTTATGTCAACGAACCATCGATCTGAAAACATAACAAAAACATGGATTTTGACATCCTTTGAAAATTCTCACCTAATATGTCTAAAATATTCATCCCTTTGGTAGAATCTGATATGACCTCTGTTAGCACTGACTCACTGAAAGAAAGCAGTGATCACATACAGAACATCACAAAGAGTTTGTAAGTGATCATAATCCAACACAGCAATTATGTTTCTCATCTGCATTTGCTTACCCAGTTTGTTGTTTTTTCCCTTCTTTCCTCCAGCATTTGCTGCAAAGATTCTCCGAGGCCTCCTGCCTTTCCAAACCGCTCCACAATGACCTTGGTCTTTCCAAATTGCTCCTCTGACACCAAGTGTTTCATGCACTGTAGGTACATGTGTAAGGTCTGCTGCAGTGGTGGGACTGGAAGTTTTGGCACTGTCTAGTCATTAAAAAAAAAAAGAGAGATATTAGCAAGTAATTCTACTTGTTTCTAAATTGTCGTATTTTTTTCTCCCTTTTTTTTTTATTCTGATGGTTATTAATTTATTGCATCCCCTTTTTAATCCATCTATTCTGTTTTAGCAGTTGAGATGCTTGATTAGTGCAAATAATTGTATGACTTCAGTATAGTTTCATTAGATCTTCAAGTGCCTGAATTTTAGGACACAGTATGCAGTTGTATGCAATACTGAAGCCATGGCACCTCTCCAATAGCTCTATTTGTAGGCAAGGAGAGTTTCAAATGCATAATCCAGGAAACTAGTGGATAACAGGAGAATATTCCTTGGTAAAAGTGTTTAGAAATCCTAGCACAAACAGGCAAATAGGCATAATGCAGGCATATAGTCTAAGTTAGACTCTTGGAAGTCTTCAAATACATTACACAATAATAAAATAATGCATTAAGAGAAGGTATTTCATAGAATAGAATCATAGAATTATTCACTAATTTACAATTATTTACTAATTTCATTAGTAAATAAGAGTGTTTAGCTTGTGATCAGTAAAACTGTGGGTAAATACTTGTCTGATTGGTAATACGATTGATTATACAATTGCAGAAACAGAAAACATGCAGTTCTATCTATTAGTACTGACTACATACAATCCTAAATAAACCTGTGCTCTACTCTGCCAAACCTCTGCTGCGGGCCAGCCTGGAACCCTCCTTGAAGGTTTCAAGACAAAGCACTTCTGTTCACACTTGCTTTGTCCTTATCTTGTTTGGAGCAGGAAAGCATTGTGCTCTAAGCATGGTTCTTCAGGTTGGTGGACATGTCTCACAGTTGAGAAATGGTCATCTAATTCAGCTGTGCTTGTCCATTAGAAATTAGTGTAGACCATAAACTCCTGGAGGGTTTATTTCTCTAATTTGATTTTGCTTGTCTCCTAAAGCGGGTAAAGCTCAGATTTTTTTACTAGCTCTTGATGTAGTAGACATTCATTTTCATAGTATTGCAGGACCATAGTGTGATTTTTTGGTTGGAAGAGGTGTCTGGCAGTCACCTAATCCCATCTGCTGCTCAGATCCAGGCTAGCTGCAAACTCTTTTGCTAGTGCATGCAAAGAGGGAAGAGGTAAAAGAAATGCTCTAAAGAGAAGTCAGGGAGTGGGTATCCTCTGAGCTCAAATACCAGCTCTGACTTCCGACATCCACAGAAAAGTCAGTGCTGCATTATGTTTCCCTGTCTAGAAACCAAAAATTTCAGAGACTTACAGAAAGTATAATAGGATTATACCTGTTATTAATGGAAATGCAAATCAGTTCAGCCTGTAATGCATCCTGGATCTCAGAAGTAAAAGAATAGTAATTATACAGTTTGAAGCTATGTTTGAAAGGGCATATCTCTTCTGTCATTGATTTCTTGGTCAGTGGAAACAGATGTGGCGAATAGTTGGGTTTTTTTTTGATACCTGGTTTTGGCCCTGTCTTTTTGGGTAAGGTTACTGTGCAGTTCATAACTCTGCTTAGGAATAAAACTTTACACCCGAGGGGTTGGCTACTCACAGGTGTACACATATCCAGCATCTTTTAAAGCAGCTTGAAAATGAATCGTGATAGTTTGATAGTTCTGTACTATTAAGAAATAATTACATGCTATCGCTGGTTGTGTAGCAATATATCTGTTGTTGTTGTGTAATAATATTTCACTTACTGGAATTCTTCCCTGGCTGTTGTGAGGAAGAGTGTATTTGGAGATGAGATATGTATTTGGTTAGAAGAGCTGTCTGGCAGTCACCTCGTCCCACCCAGTAACACTAGATCAAGGTTCCTGACTATAAACTGCTGCGAGATAACTAGTGTTCCCTGAAATGCAGAAATCAGCTCTGGAGCAGAGCTTGGTTTACAATTATTATATTGTAATATAATACAATATATTGTATATTGTATATATATTAATATATATACAATCAATATATAATAATTAATATATATATAATTAATATATATATTAATTTACAGCATTAGAAGCTGTAAAGTCATTTATTGTCAACCTGTTTTTCCTTCTTGTTTTGTTTTTCCAGAAACAGTCACTTACTGTCTCATCTTTACTGCATGTATCTTTCTCTTTCTTCTGCATGTTTTTGTCTAGGACAGGCATTCCTGCATTTCTTTTGATATCTTTTATTGAGGACAGAAGTTGAAGCCACCTGGGGGCACTTATGTAGCCTCACGCCTCAGTTCTGTAAATAGAAGAGATTTAAAGTCCAGTCAGTATCTATCATTTATAACCAAAATGTACACAGGGAGTATTCCCCGCACAAACATTCACAGACAAAACTGAAGAGAAATAGAAGTACAACATTCAAAAGTAGCTGAACTGAGCCCTGTGGAGATTGATCTGACATTGTTTGTTTCATTTCACTATAAATTTATTTATCCAGAACTCTCTGATGCACATAAATGGTCCCTTCTTGGCATGGTGTATTTTGTCACTCTAATTTATTTCACGATGCACTGTGCTGTGATCTGCATGCTTTGTATGACTGTTATATGTTAGCTGGAGGAAGGAGGTGACATCTCTGAATGTACTTATGTCGACACAGGTAATAGTAAGGTTGCCATTTTCTGTATAAAGATTTTGTACATCCTCTCTTTATCATTTTATATGAAAGCACCATGAAAGCCTTTAAATGTATTTGTCATTGCACGGTTCCATGGGCACAGTGAGTTGCTGTCATCCCTGTGTTAAAGATGTGGAAGCTGTGTGAAGGAGCTTGGTGAAGACACGTCTTTGCCCTGAAGGCTAGAAACTTGTGGGGTGCCAGTGCTTTGGGGCACAGGTCTTGGTTGGCAGGCTGGCTGCAGGAGGACCAGGAGGGGTGGCATGCCCTGCATTTGAGACACTTCACATAGCAGTCTTTCTAAATAGCATTAAAGGAGGTGGCTTAATTTGACAAAAGTCACAGAAATCATCTGAAATATTTTCACGTGTGTCTCGCTGCTGGTGTGCTTATCCTGGTTTTCACTTCTAAAGATGCTTATTATGCCTTCTCTGTACAAGAATAAGCTATATGACACACATATTTCTTTTGATACAATAGGCCCACACCAAATGATTGTCCTTCAGTTACTGTGGTACAGCTGAAGCTGAGTAAGTTCTATGTGTTCAGTCAGGTCTTGACAGGTCACAGGTTTTGGGTTGTTGTTTTTTTTTTTGTTTTGTTTTTGATTTCTTTTTAAGTAGTTTGCACTGTGTGCATGCAAAATAAAAAAGATGTGCTGACTAGGTTGAAAATAATTTCCTTTCCAAAACCCACATTCAAGACATTTGAATTATTTCTGTAGGAGCTTTTAAGTACAATTTGGATAAAAAATTACAGTGTATGAACGTTTTGTTTAGTGATGGGCAGGGAGGCTGTGCATTATTCCGCTCCTGAGGAATCAGCTGTCTAACCTTGTGGCTTCAGTGTGGCTCTACCAATGTGTATGTGGTCACTGACACCTCGTGTTGGTCCTGTCCTCTCCCTGTCCTGCACTGGCTGCCAGTGGTGCCATGTGCTGTGAAGTAGGTTGTGTAAGGCTGTATAAGGTCTCTGGGGCTCTACAGTGAGCTGCACGGCAAACTCGTGCTGATCTGTCATCTGCTCACAATTTCAACTCAGGTGAGAGACCATTTCCCTCATGGAGAGGTCACATTAACCCACTGCGCTGCTCAGCTCCCTCTCGTGTGCTGCCCAGGTCTCACCACTTAGCTGTGTGCTCTATTCCAAGCAATACAGGTTCAAAGCACTTCAAATGATGGGTATGTCCTATAACTCATGGAAAACTGTAGCTTGCTCAGTTTATGGATTGGCCTCAGCTCCCCACCTGCACTCCAATACAGCTCAGAGAGAAGCCCTTTTTTCTTCAGAGCCCCTAAAACTGTATTCCCCCAAAGGAAAAATACTGGTGTTCTTCTCACTGTGACTTTGGTCTTCTTTCCTTATGTTTTTTTTTTGTCAAACTGCACTATGAAGTCACACTGACTACAATTCCATACTAGCTCTGTGCCTGTGGGAAATGCTGCTAGTAACAGACTCATATCTGTAAAATCAGTGTGATAAAGAGTAGCCTGAACTGTACCTTTCTCTGTCATGCGGATAAACTGAAGTTTTGTCTCTGGTTCAACTGCTGCCAGCTTAGCATCATGGCCAATCCTATATTTGCTTTAAAGGACAAGGAAACTGACAAAAGAGAAAATCCTGCAGAAATTCAAGATGACTTCAAAGTTGCTCACTGGGATGGCTATGAGGTGTATTGTGAAAGTTATTAGGCAAAAAAGATAATCCTAGCTGTTTTTATTTACAGCTGGCTTAGTCGAGAGGTGGGGTAAGCAGATTAGCAGGGTGGCAGGGAGTCACAGAAGCCTGGGGAGCTGGGTGGCCTTCCCCACAGCTCAGAGCAGCAGCTCAAACACACAACAAAAGGTGCTGATCTCCCTGTAAGCAGATAGCAGAGAGGGACTGAAATAAGCCCATGTGCTTATACTTGAGTTCTCCAAACAGCATGGACTCGGGAGGAGGCTTGCGGGATATAACGTGGTTGGGGCATTACACTCAGCCCTCATCTATTCATCCTCGCTGTCAATGTTACCAGGAAGATAAAGTTCTCAGGAATAGATACTAAAGTTGAGGCATATACGCGTTAGCAGCAATACGCTTTTGAAGCGCGCACTGCTGCGGCCGTTGACATGACGAGCGGAGCGCGAAGCCGCCCTGCCGCCTGCCGTGAGCTTTCCCGCGGGCCGTTCAGCACCGGGACCGTCGGGGAGCCCTCAAGCTCCGCTGGAGCTGCCGGCGTGCCCCGAGACCTTTCCGCGACTCCGCCCCGGGGGTGCCCCTTCTTCCCCGGACCTTCCGTGCCGGCGGGACCCGCGGGCGGCGGCAACGGGGCTGCCCCGTGGGCGCGGTGGAGTCTGGCGAGGGGATGAGAGGAGCCCTCTCTGCTCGCGGGACCCTCCGCACCTGCTCCCTCGCTCTCAGACCCGCGGCTCTCCCTCCCCGGCACTTGCAGCCGCGCCGTCGGAGCGGCGGGAGGCGCGCAGCCAACCCGCCCGTACCTGCTCGTCGGGGCGCTCCGGAGCAGCTATAGCCGGGCTAAGAGCGTCGCGGCGCCTCTGTCCAAGGTAGCGGAGGCTCTGGCCAAGGTACCGCCGCCTCCTCCGCGGCCAGGTCGCCTCTGGGCGAGGGCGTGCGGACCGCGGCTCATCCCCGCCGCAGCCTGGCTCCTCCCCGGCCCCGCCCGGCCCGACCCGCCCCTCCCGCGGCGCGCAACAGGCGCTGCCGGCCCCTCCTGGGGCCGCACCACTCTTGTAGTGCCCCTTATGCAGGCTGTTCCTGGCGGGGGCACCGGCGCCCCCCTCGCCCTCCGTGCTGCCTCCGTCCCGGGGGGGGGGGGGGTCTGGAGGAGTCGGGCAGAGCCGCGCCCTCACCGCCGTCGGGGGCGAGAAAGGGAGCCCCTGAGGGTTGCAGCTCTCGGTGACCACAGGGGCTGTCGCCAGAGTCGAGCGGTATCGCCGTGGGGCTTCTGCGGCTCCTTAAAACTCCGTGACCGAACGGGGAGGGCAGCACTGCTTGTGGCTGCACCGGCACTACGGCCAAGAGGGGCGGTAGCCCGTGACGGGGCGGCAGCGGTGCCGGGAGGGGACCGGGCTCTGCTGGAGCTGCCCGACCGCCGGCAGCGACCCCGGGGCAGCGGTAGCACCCCACCGTGCTGGAGTGGGGCGGTGGCCCGGAGGAGGCGCCGCTGTTGCCGCTTAGTGCACAGGGAGCGGCTGCGGTTCGGTGTAGCGAGGCTCGGATACCACCGAGTTGGCCATGGCTCGTTCGCCAACCCCGCCGTGCCGAAGCACCGCCGCGGTGCTCTCCTGAGCTCTGCGTCGCATGAGCAGCTCCGCGACCGCCTCGGTGGAGGAGCTGCGAAGCGGCAGGGGAGCCGCGCGTCCCGCGGAGCTCAGCGGAGGGTTCTCCGCGTCTCCTCGCGGAGCCCAGCTCCCCGGGGACGGGTGGAAGCCCTTCAGTACATGCTGTGGCCGTTTAGATAATTTCCTCCCCCTCTCGATATTGAAAGTCATTTATTTTGTTTCCTGGTGAGTCAGGAATTTAAACAAACGATTTTATTTTAACTCAAGGTAAATTTACAGGGCAAAATATGCACTCTGGTTCCATTGTAGTTGGATCGAAGGTTTCCACTTTTTGCACAGTCTGAATGAAGCACATCACCCATATTTTGTTTTGTTTAATCCCTGTCGGCTACACTGAAGTGGGCACGTTGCAGTTGGGCCGGCATTTCAGCAGTGCTTTCCAGTGTTGTGTCTCTAGCTGCTGGTCATGCCATTTCTTTGGAGTATTCGAAAAATAAAATTCACGATTGTGAGAATTAAATCCACGTGAGCCTACAAGGAGCTGTTTATAGGTGATAGATAGCATGTTTGCAGTGCGATCTTGTTTGCTTGGAGAACATTTTGTACCGGGGTTTTCTTACGGGCAGTTCTGGTAACCGATGAGGTTTGTGTTACAAAGAATTGTTACCGTAGGGGTTACACTGAGGGGTTACAACCAGCTCCCTCCCTCAAGCAGCCCTCAACAATGAAACAAAAGACAATCGATCTCCTTCAATTCTGTTTATTCAGATCGTATTATTCTTGTAGTTTGGACTTCAACATAATACAGCATATTGCATTACCAGAGAGCAGCACAAGAGAGAGAAAAAAAGTACAATACTTCAGTTTATTCCAAGGAAGAACAAGACATTGTGATAGTTGTTGCTGTTTTTAAATATACGAAACCAACTGAAAATTTAAGTATATGTACACCAGATGTACTAAATCCCTGAATATACCATTCGAAATTTTACACAGACTTTTTTGCTTTTATTTTGTACAGAGATATACAGTACGTCACACACAGCTTCAGCTTGAGAAAATTTCACACAAATTACACCCCAGCTATGAGGCTGGTTTTTTTTTTTGTTGTTTTGTTGGGGCTTTTTGTTTTTGTTTTGTTTTTGTTTTTTGGAAGGATCCTGCCTAGATTTATGCCAATGATTATCCAGGTAATTTTCTTCAGGATTGTCCCCTCATTCCCCACCACCTCCACCTTGCCAGAATGCTAAAGGAAATACCGATTAGAAGTAAGTCTAGAAGAAAGCCATTACATCATGACAAAGGTTTAACTGTATATATTGCACATCAGTACAGAAACATGATGCAGTAACACTCCCCCCCCTTTCCTTCTGTCCCCCATGCCCCTCCTTGCTCCTCATGCTGGTTGGCATTGGGGAACCTAACTGTACTCATAGTCTGATGAGTCCTCCTCAGACACCCCAGCCAGGTCTCTGCGGTACGAGTCCACACCATTCTCCTCCATCCCATCTGCTGCGTGGAGGCTTTTGCCCATGCCTTTACGCTCCTCCATTTTGATGGTGTCGTAGAGTCCCTTAGGTCCTTCTTCAAGGAGAATGTTCCTCTCCGAGTGAGAGGGCTTCATCTGACAGACGTTTCTGAGTAAGAGAAGGACAGGTGCGTAAAGCACGTTGGCAAGCCCCATGCCCAGGTTGAGCTGCGCAAAGCCCATGGTGTGCACAATCTGGCCAGCCACAATGGGCCCCAGGGCATATGCCACAGAGTAAGAGATGTCTGCAATGGCATAGACGCTGCCGTAGACAGAGACGTGGCGCACATCCACAAGGAAGGCCAGGGTGGGCAGCAGGGCTGTGTCCACCAGGGCGATGCCGAAGCAGATGCCACAGAGGGGAACAATGACCTGCCCAAAATTCCTGCAGGCTGGCACCAGGCAGGAGCTGGCGCCGATGATGGCCATGCCCAGAGCCCCATAAAACCACTGGAGATGGGGGTATGCGGCAGCCAGCCGGACTGTGACGTAGACGCCCAGCACGTGGGGGAAGAAGGCGGGCAACCAGGTGAGGCCCACCTCCCACTCGCTGGCCCCCATGGAGTCCTTCATCCAGTTGGCGATGGTGGGCTCCAGGAAGGCCAGGGGGATGTTGCAGGTGGCCAGGGCTCCTGCCACCACGGCGATGTAGGGGTCTATCATGAGGCGATGGATGGGGGTGCCTACCGGCATGTTGGCCCGCGCGGCAGCAGCCCCTGGTGGTGCCAGGGCCAGCAACAGCAGGCCGTCGAGGAGGCAGACGCAGGCCAGCACTAGGAAGGGCACCCGCTTCCCGGCGAACTCGTAGAGGACGCCGCCGAAGGGGGGGGCCGCCAGGCTGCCGAAGGAGATGCAGGCCAGCGCCGTGCCCAGGGCGCGGCTCCGCGCTGGCTCCTCGGGATAGCGGTCGGCGATGAGGGCGATGCCAGCTGTGTCGGCGAACGCCGAGCCCAGCCCCTGCAGGCTGCGCGCCGCGAACAGCGTCGCGTAGTTCTCCGCGAAGGCGAAGGTGGCGGTGGAGAGGAACATGACGGCCAGCCCGGCCAGCAGCGGCGTCTCGTAGCCCACGCGGTCGATGAGGGTGCCGCTAAGCGGGTTCACCAGCAGCTGCAGCATGGCCTTGGAGGCGAACAGCACCCCGATCTGCACGTCCTCGTTGCCCCCCGTGGCCGGCGGGTACCGCGCGGACAGGAGGCTTCGGTTGCCGCCGCCGCTACCGTTGCCCCCCGGGGGCGCGGACGGGCCAGCGGTGGCCCCCCCGCCGCGCATGGTCGCGATGTAGTCGGGGATGATGGGTACGATGACCATGTAGAGCATGTTGTCCAGCAGCAGCGCCACGCACACCACCACCAGCAGCAGCCTCCGCTGCCGCCTCGCCTCTCCCATGGCGGTGCCCAGCCGCTGCCGTCGCTCGCCCACCGCTTCCGAGAGCCGCGCCACGGCGGCCCGCGCCCGGCCCGCGCCCCCCACCTCCGACATCGCCCTCAGCGCCGCTGCCGCCCCGCCGCCGCCCGCATGGGGCACGGCCGGGGCGGCCCCGCAGCCTCCGCCGCCCGAGCCCCCGCCGCTCACCTCCCGGCGGCCGCCGCCAGCCCGCGCCGCCGCTGCGACGTGGCTCCTAGGGGCCGGTCCTCCATCACCACACTAATAAGTGCCGCGCACGGAAACCCCACCCGCCCCGCCACCGCGCCAGCCCCGCCGCCCGCCCGCCCGCCCTCCGCGCCCCGCCCCGCTCCGCTGTACCGTGCCGGCAGCCTTGCCCGGCCGCGGCAAGTGGGCTGCGGCGGGGGGGGCGCCGCCGGTCCCTGCCCGCCCCAGGAGTGCGCTGGGGGGGGGCGGTGGGGAGGCGGCGCCACCCGCGAGGTGGGGGCTTGCCGATAGCTCTCGCGGCCCCGACGGCGCGGCTTTGGAAGCGGTCCCCGTTTTCTCGGCAGCCTCCCGAAGCCCGCGCTCCGTCGTTTCCCGCTGCGCCTGGGAGCGCAGGGGCAGCGGGCCGGGCCCGACGTGCGCCCGCCGGTGCTGCGGGCAGTGGCCCGCTCCCCTCGCATCCGTGAGCGGCAGTTGCCCCAGAGGGCGGCCCCGAGCCCGGCTCGCCTGCCGCTGCCGGCGATGACCGGCTCGGCCCCCGTGCGGTGCGAGCTGCAAAGGTCCCTCCGCCCCGGGCCGGGGCCACAGCGAAACCACCGCCCCCTCCCCGGGCACCCTGTGCTTCCACCGCCTGCCGCCGTCTATCCCGAGAGCCGGCCGCAGGGGCTGCCCGCCAGCACCCTGCGCACTCCGCAGCCCCGGATGCCTCCCCCCACACCTCCCGCCGGCGTGGCCGGGCCAGGGCGCGGGGGCGCCCCGGCGGTACTCGGGCTAACCGGGAAAGGGGCGAGACAGGGCCGGGCTGAGCCCTGCCCCTCCTCAGGCGGTGTGTGCCCGCCGGTGGCAGCGCTCCCACCCAGAAGACCACTGAAGCTGCACTGGAAAGCAGAGCGCAACACAGTAAACATCTCCCTGCGTGCGTGCCTGTGTGTCTTAACCCTCTGACAAATACCGGGGAGCTAATCATCAGGCACAGTGGTATTACATCTTGCCGGGACGGAGCTGCGGAGCAAGGAGCCTCAGTTGGTGCAGAGGCTTTGGTATTAGGGGGATACTTCCGGCATAAAGCAGAGGGTAAATATCATTGCTCCTGTAGCAGAAATTATACGTGGGCTGATCCAAGAGGGTGTCGGCAGAAGGCTTTACAAAATAGCTGGATCTCTCAACTGAGCAGTTCCTAGGGAGATGTGGAGTTCGGGTGCCTTCATTTGCTTGCATAGCTGGGCTTCCACAGCTGAAAAGGAGATGATTTATCTGCCAGTCACTGTATCCTGCTATGTTGCGAGAAAGCTGTCTAGATGGCCAGAAAGACTCTTAAGATGGATTTCTGCATGGAGTGGCATACAGATCCAGTTGTGCTTACACAGAAATGGAGTCTTAAAGCACACTTGAAATAATACCCCTAGACATCTGCGTCGTCGTTGTTACCATTATTTGTTACTCATTTACTATCTCTGCTGTAAAACTGCAGAAATATGCCACTGACAATAGAGACCAAGCTCTTGACCTGGGACACTAGGTAAAGTAGTATCCTAAGAGCTTTAAAAGATCATTTCAGAGTGTAGAAGGAAAGCGTCAGAGAGAACAGAAGGGTCTTATTGGAAGGGTCCTGAGGTGAAAGCCATGGCTGGTGCTGTTGCTGCATATTTCTGGCTAACATCAACTGCCAGACTGATTTTGTTGGGAACACCCCTCCCACCCCCCAACTAGCCACTGCAAAGCCCACCCTCCTGGCTCCTCAAACAGACCCTGGGGTAACAGCCTGGGAACATGTTTCTGCAGGGACTAGGGGCACAGGAGGAGCAGCTCCCAGGGTGCTAGGTAAACTGTTTGGGATGGATATCACGTTTGCAGTAAGCAGTAATGGGTTGGGGGCAGATATGACTTTAGATCATTGCTGTGCTGCAGTCAGGAGTATTGGAATCTTGGCTCTTGCTTGATGAGGCACTTTATTTGATTAAAGTTTCCCTTTTAATCAGAGATATGGTCATTTCCCGTCTCTAAAATGGAATCTGGCTCTGGGGGTCATGTCTGGATAATAAAGGGACTGGTTCTCTTGTCTCAAGGGAGCTGATATCGAATTTATTACCATCAAGGGAAAGCAGAATTATACTTGTAAAATGTTGCATAATAAATTTAGCCTTCTTAGTAAATCAAATCAGCAGATACCCTTTATCTGCAACAGATGCGTCATCGCTACGTGAGCTTCTTTGACTAGACAAAACTAATGGGGAGGAAATGTACCTTCAAATGTGCTCAAAGTGGATGGACCCACAGTAAATTAAAGTAAAAAGAGTCTCCCTGGTGTTTGCCTTAGAAATTCATAATTATATTTGGGAAGAGACTTCAGGGTGAGATGAGACAACTTTTAAAATTCTGTACTTTCATTCCAAAGCCCAGAAGATGTGGCACTTACTTGATTTGAGAGGAGGAATGAGGAGGAGGTGATGTACTTCATTTGTCCTCCAGTGCAGAACACGTGTTTTTGGAAAGCCACTGTTGATGTCAAGGAGATGGAGAAGATTTTAGGTCTGTAAAAAGAGCGGAGTTGCGTGCACTGGGACTTCTTATGACTTTCTTTGTTCTAGATGCTGTAGATGGAGGAAAATGCAGCCCATGATGACTGTTTTGCCATGGAGAGGAATTTTTTCTCAAGTCCAACAAAAGCCCAGGGCCCAGGAAGGGAAATTACATTTAGGATCTTCAATATTTCAGAAACAACAGAAAATATATAGCCATATAAGCAATAAATGTACATGTTTGAAGGTGGCATCAGTTCAAGTGGAATGTGAGGGGAAAGTGGGCTTTAGTATGACCTGTTAGTCACACTTCTAACACTCTCTTTAGATTAAAAAGATCTACCTACGCTAGGAATTTTGGAAAAATGAGAGAGGTTTCTCTCCAAACAGCAAAATAAATATCCAAGCAGTTAAGCAGAAAAAAATGACTTGTGTACAATCTGCGCTTGTCCTGCTCCCTGCTGAATTGATAGTCCTTGCACTTTGGAATGACAGTTGTTTTTGATGCTATATGAGGGTGATTTTACAGCAAGAGAGAGAGAAACAGCAAGTGCTGTGATGCACTGCTGCCAGGAATGGACTTACGTTATTGTGCATCCTTAGGAGTCCTTCTTCCAGAGGAGAAAAACTTTTTTGCTGTGAGGAGTCCAAACACAATGAGTCAGAAAGTTAGAGTTCCTCATGTCTACAAATCATTAATTTTCTTAACAGCCTGAGTACTTAATGTCTGCAATAGAGAGCTTGTCCTCTTAAGGATATGGCAATACTTTTTAGCACTTAGTACTAAACTAATTACGTGTTTCTTTTCTGTTTTTTCTTTCTGATTAAAAGACCTGCTAATCTGATCCTTCCAAATGGGAGAGGCTCACCTAGTTTGACAAGTACATTATAATCTTTAGCAGTGTGGTGGAGGAAAAGGGAGGAGACAGAAGGTAAAGCCTGTTTTCAACAGCTTCATTTCAAAAGCATTTTTGTGAACAAAACGGCCAGTTTGTCAAACAGAAACCAATGAATTATTGCCATGAGTTGAATTATTGAGAAAGCACTGGGTATTTTGGCTCAGCAAAATGCAGGACACATATTCCTGTAGGTCAGTGGTAGCTTCCTGCCCTTCCTGTTGGGCACTAAAATCTTTGTTCTCTAAGCAGGCAGACACACAGGTGCAGGCAGAGGCACACACAGGAGCTTTGGAAAGCAGAGGAAAGAGGGAGTCCTGGCAGGGGCTGGCCAATCCCATGGCTGGTGGCACCATGCAGTGGCACCATGCAGGCGAAAGCCAGGTAGGGCTCAGGGCTCCTGGTCCTGCTTCAGGTTCCTGCTGGGCAGGGCTGATTGGCAGCACTTTCTGGAGAAGCCTTAGCCCCTCCAGCTAGTGGTGCTGTTGGTGTTACTGGGAATAGCCACCAGGCACAGCCTTCTGAGGAGACAGTGTCTGTTGCAATCTTCTGTCAAAGCTTCATGCATGATAGAGGAGTGATGAAAGATGGGAACTGCACATGAAACCATTTCTGTAAAAGCTGTGTTCAATGAGAAACACTGCTCTTTATAAAGGGATTTTTTTTTTTTGTATTTTTTTTTATTCACTCTTTGGCAATAATGCTTAGAGAGGGAGAGAAAAATAGACGAGAAAGAGAACAGAGAAAGTAATACAAGACTTTGTGTCTAAGCTTATGTTATCTTTAGCAATAGTTGGTGTTCTTGTTAGTTGTAATAGACAGTTGTTCTGTTAGAGATACAAGAGAGCAATTAAATTATAGTGCCTCTTCCAACTCTGAAGGTACAGAGTATTCTCTATGGCAAAGTCATGTCTCTACTTCTAAATGGCTGAGTGAATGGAGTTTCCACTTCTCCCCTTGGAGAATACTTAGTTGTCCAATAAAATCCATGGCTTGAACAGTCTCCTAATGTTCAGTTTGAAATTTCTTTTCCTGTGTTGTTCCCACTATGCCTATGTTTACTGTGTGCATCACCTTAAAGAGATACAAGAAGCTGCTATTAGATCTGTGAATATCCTGTTCCTCCCAATGACTGCTTCTCTTCCTAGTACCTTAGCATAATTTTTGTCCTTTGCTCTTTTGAGGAAGCCTGTCAGGATGTTCTCCAACCAACCATAAAAATACAATCTTTTCCCCAAGTTACCCTGTTTTTCAGCTTTTCAGTTGTAAAAATACAGAATATATCATTGTTCCAAAACCTCTCAAGTTCATGCAGGCACTCATTTCTCATCCAGTTTTGCAAGGAGCAGGAGCTGAAAGAATGTTTTGAAGCTACTGATTCCCCACTAGCCACTTGTGTCTTCTCACCTTTTAGGGCTTTGCTGTAGCCCAAATCAAATTTCTCATTAGTTCCTCATTGCTTAATAGCCTCTTATAACTAAGACAG